CTCCTTCCCTCTCCTCCCCAATTTACTACCATTAATAGCAGCACAGGAACTTGTCAAAACAACTTTCTTAACAACACTACAATTAATATCAGCACACGCTTCCAAAACATTTAAAGTTCCCTTAACAGCAATATCAACAATTGTTTCGTCTGCCGCAATAGGGAAAGGACTGGCTACATGCAAAACATATAAACACCCAGAAATTGCTCTTAAAATGATTTTTTTATTTAAAAAATTTCCCCAATAATTTAACTCTTTCCAACACTCTTTATTTGTCAAATCAGCCTCAATTAATTTAAAATTTTCTTTAGGAAAGGAGGAAGCCAAATCAATTAAAGGTTGAACTTTTGCTTTATTTTGTAAAGAACGAACAGTTCCTCGAACAGAATAACCTGCACACAAAAGTTGTTTGACACAATGGGCGCCTAGAAAGCCTGAAGCGCCGGTCACTAATACAACTTAAAAAATAGAAGATAATTAAATTAGTCGGACCTTTCTTATAGATATATCCTTGGGGCTGTAAAATTTTATCTTATAATGAATAGGACCCATCTTAAATTGGGGGAGGAGGTATCGTTTTGTTGTGTCCGCACTGAACATAAATGAAAATAAAATAGCCCAGCATCGGGTTGGATGGTGGCACAGTCGGTTATGCTTCGGTTTGGGTGGCTGGGCTCATTCCTTGATGGTTTTATTCCATCTCCCATCCACTGAATTTTTCTACAGCATGAACATCGTACTTATATAATACTTTAGACATCCCCCTCCTAATGGTCAATAATTTTCAAGAAACGTATCACAAGATTGAGTGGTTTGTTTATCTCATAGTCAAGTCTGTAAAAAAAATTTTTTTACCAATTTTTCCATTATCTGTTTGGGACATTTCAGCAGTTAATTATAATAATTTTTGTGTCAATAATTTAAACTAAAAATGTTTTCTGAACCAACTGAATGAAAATTATTTATTTACTAGATTTTATTTACTAGATTGTATGAAAATGATTAACAATTTAAATATTATAATTTGTATTTTGGAAAATTTTGGAAAATTAATGGTTTTTAAAAATATCAAAAAAATATTGTTTAATTAATTTAGAATGTGGGAATTAATTTTAAAAATATGTAAATGTATGTATGATTTATCATGTACACATAAAAAATATTATTTAGTCAACTGTTATTTTTAATTTTTAAAGTTTGGTCAATTTTTAATAAATGGTTGTTTTTAAAAATATTTTTAGAGAAAAAAAAAGTTTTTAAAAAATATAAAAAAATAAAAAAAAAAGATTTTTTTGAGGGGTTTATGTGTTCTCCAATTAAATAAAAAATATTTTTAATAAACCTATTTTTGAATAAAAATATAAATAAAAGAATTGTGTCAAAATATTTAGAGCAAAAGAATAATTGATCGTCGCGCACTTAACTAAGAGAAAATAAATTGGTAGATTTGTAATATAGATTTAATCCTAAATAGTACGTTTTGATTTTTGAAAGAAATTTTGGAAAATAAAAAATAGTATTTTCTTTTGACAGACAAGAAATTAATGATTAATTTTTTGTCGTCCTTTTTTTGAGAGACTCAAATGAGGGTTTGAAAAATTAATAAATAAATACTTAAATACATTTAATCTAAATTTTTAAATTTAGAAAAAAAAAATTATGTATTTTTTGATTTTAAATTGATAAATAAATTTTAATTTTAAATTAATAAACTCAACGACAGTTTTTCAAAATTAATTTTAGATTTGTAACCTACTTAATTAAATTAAAAAGACCCCTGAAACCAACAAAATTAAAATTATAAAATTGTATGTACATGATTTATTCTGACTCGAATACATTTAGAACTCTACTAATTAATACTTTAAACTAGAAACCGTCAAAATCGCGTTTGCGGGATCCCGCATGCGGGGTTTTTTAATCTTTGCGGACGGAATCCTGCGGGAATAATCCCGCACTCCCACAAAGTTACGCAAATTGAAAAAAGTGCGGGACGGGGTAGGATAGGATCCCATCCCGCCCGGTCTCTACTTTAAACTGTATCGGTTATTCTACTATCAAATAAATTTTTATCTCAACCATGATTTTTGCTGATTTTTGGCTCTTTCATCCATCCATGGTGCGAAGAGACCTACAATATAAAATTACGATAATCCCTCCTCTAATTTTTATTTTCTCTTAAAATTTCAAAAAAAAACATAGCTTATGCTTCTAGTATTTTGTATATCCTTTGCTTTTTTGCAATAAGCAAAATAAGAATATAGACACTACAGCATAGCTTTTCTACATCTGCATAGCTTTTCGTTGTCCATTTGTTCCAGTGGTCATTCTTTGCATTTGCACTTAAGTAACAGCTGCTTTCTAGGCAAATCAATATTTATTTAACTAAAAATTTCCAAAATTTTGTATGAATATTTTTCGATTTTTATTTCACAGATATTAATAAATCTGTTTTGAAATTACGTCCCAGATAAATATACTAAACTTTATAATGATTGTTTTGGGGTCGGAATATCCTTAACATTACTTAGGGGCATTCGGCCGCTGGTTCGGTCAATGACCACATTTTGTTGTAATTCCCTAATATTCCGCTCAAAGCAAGAAGTAACCGGAATTAACTCTTGATAGGACTTACATGCATTCAATAGGCACACGTTCTAACCCAAAGAAAAATCTAATATCTTAAATTCTATTTTCCAATTTTATTATTTTTACAATACGTCTAACTCAACGTTTTATTTTTAGATTCCCCCCTCAACTAGTATTACATCATCTGGGGAGAATGCTTCAACACCCTAAGGCGGAACATCTTTCCAAAATTTAACCGTTACTTGGGTTCCTATAGCTCCTTCGATGTTTAATCTCAGTGCACACTATCGCTCTTAGCATTAATGGCATAAAATATAGACATTTATTGTATTGGGTCTGAGACTAATCATAATTATTAATTGGGTACTTTTCGGTTATGAGGTCACACTTTTTAAAAAGTTCTCAAAATGGTCAATATATCATATATAAGGTAGAAAAAGGTGCTGAGTCGAATGGTACCAATCTTTTTTCACGGAGATTCTTGTGGACCGAGATGTAGGGCTCGAAATGGTCAAAAACCATAGGGAGTAGTAAGCTCATTTTTGGTGTGAAAAATTAAATTTTTTGAATGATAGCTCATTCGAAAGAGCTCCTCGAGCTGAGTCGAATGACACCAAAATCAGTTCGAAATCTTGATTCTGAGAGCAGATGAACAAGCTCAAAATGGTCAACGCAAACCTATGGAGCCTATGGTTTTTTACCATTTCGAGCCCTATATCTCGGTCCACAAGAATCTCCGTGAAAAAAGATTGGTACCATTCGACTCGGCACCTTTTTCTACCCTATATATGATATATTTACCATTTTGAAACTTTACCATTAATTGCATTTTTGCAAGTTATGAAAAACATATGGGATTCAAATGAAAGGAAGTTTGCTCACAAAATTGTAAATTTCACTAATTGTTACCCTACACTTTAAAAACATTATTTTTTATCTACCCATTAATATTTTACCCTTAATATTGCAATCAAGAAATGTTTGCAATTAATTCTCTTCTAGTATGTTCTTGTGATAAAGATTTTTAATTTAAAAATTATTTAAATTTAATATTTATTTCAATTAAAATGTAGTGGAGAATTTAAAATTTTAATTCACCTTCTGAAGAGATAATATGTACATAGCGACAGATTATTTATTCCCCGTACAATTAGACGGATGTTTAAATAATATTTTTATTTTTCAATTTTTAAACTTATTTTAGAAATTTATTAGATTGATAAAAATATTTTAAAAAATTGTTCAAAGTTCAACAAAACATTTTATCTTCATTATACGTTCAATGCGAACAATTAAAATATACTCTAGGACACTTATAAACAATACAATTTACATAAACTAAAAACAAGAATAAGAAAAACTTTAAGGATATACATATTAACACAAAAACAAATACCCTCCATACTAATCAACATTTTATATACAAAGGAGAAAAACAAAATTAATCATAGACATCTGCTTCTTTATTATTATCTCCATCTCCTCCTCCCTCTTCCTTCTTATTATTATCGTCTCCTTCTTCCTCCTTTTTATCATCACTTTCTTCTTTCTTCTTATTATTATTATCACCACCCTCTTCTTGTTTATTCCCAACAACTTCATCAGAAGATACAGTCAACTCAGGTTTAGATTCTTCTTTCTTCTCTGCCGAGACAATTGATTCGATGGACTTTTTGGATTCAGTAGATGGATCCCCCTTATCTTTCATCGGCACAATCAATCGCTTTCGATCTACTTCATATGGAGCCGAAAATGTAGAGACTTGCGGATCTGTTGCTTTAGGTGTTGTTGTTGGTGGTTTAACCACAACTTCTTCTTCTGTTGTTTGTTCCCCAGTAAATTCTTTAGATTCGATCGTATTTGGAACAACAGCCCCACCAACAGCCCCACCACCGCCGACAACATCTTTTGAGAGAGTTTTCTTCATATTTTCTTTGTCAACTTCTTTTTTGCTAATTTCTTCTTTTTTGCTTAGCTCAACTTCTTTTTTATCAACTACACTCTTCTTTAAAGATACGTGACTTCCTTGAGTTTCCAACTGTGTACCAGACATATTTTTTGCTTCCATTGATAAAAGTTCTTCTGTTGTTCCTCCAGAGCCTTCAGAACTTTCATCCTCATTACTTGCTTTCTTCTTATTTTTTCGAACGATACTGCATACACAAATGATGACAAGCCTTAAAAATGAAAATTGTTTATACAATTGGACCTCTTTTTAGACACCCCCCTGGGTGCTAGAAAATCATATTTTAAAATGAAGGGTATCCCAAATAGAGAGGTACCGTTTGGGCAGTTCTCCCACCCATTAACCAACTTCTTTTTCTCCCACCCAACGCCCAACCAAATTTTCTAAGAAAAACCCTAAGTTGAGGCTTCTTGGAGTATCTAGAATGAGTTTCTGAATACAAAACTTACAATAGAATAACCACAGCACCACCACCACCAACAATATAGAAATAATAGGAAGGAAATACTTCTTTTGGTGTCGCTTTAATTCCTTTTGTTGTTCCATTTATAATGCCAGGAATTTTAGTAGAAGTTGTTGTTTTTAGAGGTTGGATGATTGTAGGGATTAAAGTAGAGAATGTTGTGGATGTTGTTAAGTTGGAATTAGATGTTCCGTTTGTCTCATTCACAGAAATAGTAGAAGTGAAGTTTTGGGTAAAAGTAGAGTAATTCATTGATGGAGAAGTGCCAACAGTAGTAGTCCCATTATTCAATTGTGGCAAAGTTTCATTGCCTGAAATTATTTATTTTTATTGAATTAATTAGTATATTTTATTTTACTCTGTTCAGGTTTTGAAGTAGTGTTAACTGAAGGATTTGGGTCTGCTGACGGTTTTTTTGAAGACGTTTTCGGTGGTGGAGTAGGTGGAGAACTAGAATCTTTTGGCGGTACTTCTGATGATTTATTTGCTGCCGTAGTCTCTGTTTCATTTGAAGGAATTGTTGCATTTGGCGGAGTAGAATCCGTTGGCTTTTGACTGATTGTCTCATTGATGGCTGAAGAATTTGTTGATGGTTGAGCAGTTGTTGTTGTAGTTGATGAATTAGCTTCTACAACTTTTGGTAATCTCTCTAGAAGTTCATAATCTATTCGTCTCTTAAAAAATAAAATTTTACACAAAAATTGAGAATGATTAACTTACAAAACGAATCGACATTTCCCTCCTGCATTCTTGGCCAGGTGTAAAATCAGGTAATTTTCCAGAAACTTGTGATGCAATCGTACGCGCACGAGATGCCGATCTTGGAAGGAGATGGAATGTCATCAACTTTTTTACTTTAATTTCATTTCTAACGTTCCCATCAATTTCCCACACCTTAGGTTTGATAATTGAGGCAGAATCGATACATCTGAAATTAGCTAGGTGGTAGCTACTTGTTTTGTTAATCCAAAAGCCATCAATTATAAAATTCGTACTCTTAACATTTCCTTCTTTGTCTACATTTACGGTGAATTGCACTTTTTTCATGAAGTTTTCTATCCAAAAATGCGTTACATAGCCAATATCACCAACTGAAATAAATTTATTTTACTAGACCAGCGGAGAGTCTCGATCAAATATATCACAAAAAATCAAAATTGAAAAAATCGGAAACCGATATATTGAACCAAGCTCTATTAAATGTAGGATTAAAATTAACTCACTAAAGTAGACTTTTGCTGTCAGCATATGATAATGTAGCTGTCCTCCTCCATTTTCCTTCTCTTTCCATGACTCATTTTCGTATCGCCATTCAACTTCCAGCGCTGTCCATGGCATACAATCCGGTCCGTTAATTCCATCCCAATCCCCAGATTTTAATCTTGTACACTCACTTCTATCTCCTGGGCAAGATGCATTGTCTTTTCCATAGAGAGGTCCTTTCTTGATCTCGTTTACTTCTTCATTGTTTAAACTGTAAGCAAAAGGCAGGCTGAAAATACAAATTATGCTCCTTCTCAATTTTATAAATATAAACTTACATGTCCGGATCCATGAGGTCTTCTTTTTAGTATCATTGCAAAGCTCCAGGAAAGTTGTAAACTCTATGTCGTCTTTCTTTGTCAGAAGATCCACCGTACAAACCTCCTTCGACGTTTCATTATAGTTCAAATAACTGAAAATTGATGTAAATATAAATTTCTTAAATTAATTGAAACTTACATATAATTATCATCTATTTGAATGGAACAATTAGGATAGAGATGCTCTGGCACCACAGTGAGGCCAGGCCAATTGTAAATCCCGAATTCATCACTTAAGGTAACTTTTCCATCCTTTAGCGTATACTTGCCGGATCCCACTTGAACTTCCGAAGAATTCACGACAGCCAACCAAAGCAGCAAACACAAACCTCCGATCGCAAACATAAAGTCGACGAATGATCCGTTGAAGTGCTTGATATTTTCTGTTGTTTTTACTTGAAGAATGTTAATTAAGTCATGTTTACTTCCTTTTATAGTCCTGTGTCCGTTCAAAGGTAGTGGCACTATTTAGGCTTTATCAAATTCGCCAAAATCATTTTTGGAAACAAATTTTTTACCATACTGATAATGAATGGAGTTAAGTTCGTTATCCGCAACCTTATATATGGCAAATCCGTGATTTTTTGGGCAAATTCATCGTTTGTTACAAAACACAATTGTAACAACGAAATCACGGAACTTCAAAATAGTAGGGAAGGAACAAATCATGGAACTAGCAAATCACGGACTTGTCGGATTAAAGGGAATATAGAAGGTCTGTTCATTGAGTTTACCTGACATGAAAAAAATATCGTTTTCTTTTTTCACCATTCCTACGGCAAAATCACAATCTTTAAAGACTTTGAAAAATAACAATTCCGAGCCAGTGCAAAAAAATAGGGAAAAATACCAAGTCGGCACGATTTGCATATTGGCCATAATCCTCATCGCCCTATCAAAAAACCACAAAAAAGGTTGGCAGAAAAAAAGAATCCAGTATTAATTCCAGTTTTCCACAAAGTTTTTTGTAATCGGAAAAATACAAAAACAAAATTATTCAAACTTAATCAAAATAATTTATTTCATACGTTTAATGCGAACAACTACACAAAATAGATTAAATATGTAGATATAATTAAGATATACAAAACAAAGAATAGGAAAAACTTCAAGGATATACTAATTAACAAAAACAAATACCCTCCATACTAATCAACATTTTATATATTTATACAAATGAGAAAAACAAAATTAATCATAGACATCTGCTTCTTTATTATCTCCCTCTCCTCCTCCCTCTTCCTTCTTCTTATTATTATCGTCCCCTTCTTCCTCCTTTTTATCATCACTTTCTTCTTTCTTCTTATTATTATCACCACCCTCTTCTTCTTTATTCCCAACAACTTCATCAGAAGATACAGTCAACTCAGCTTTAGATTCTTCTTTCTTCTCTGCCGAGACAATTGATTCGATAGATTTTTTAGATTCAGTAGATGGATCCCCCTTTTCTTTCATCGGCACAATCAATCGCTTTCGATCTACTTCATATGGAGCCGAAAATGTAGAGACCTGCGGATCTGTTGCTTTAGGTGTTGTTGGTGGTTTAACCACAACTTCTTCTTCTGTTGTTTGTTCCCCAGTAAATTCTTTAGATTCGATCGTATTTGGAACAACAGCCCCACCAACAGCCCCACCACCGCCGACAACATCTTTTGAGAGAGTTTTCTTCATATTTTCTTTGTCAACTTCTTTTTTGCTAATTTCTTCTTTTTTGCTTAGCTCAACTTCTTTTTTATCAACTACACTCTTCTTTAAAGATACGTGACTTCCTTGAGTTTCCAATTGTGTACCAGACATATTTTTTGCTTCCATTGATAAAAGTTCTTCCGTTGTTCCTCCAGAGCCTTCAGAACTTTCATCCTCATTACTTGCTTTCTTCTTATTTTTTCGAACGATACTGCATACACAAATGATGACAAGCCTTTTAAAAAAGGAAAATTATTTATTTATACAGCCGAACCCCTTTTAGATATCCCCTTCGGTCCTAGAAAACCCTTCATCTCAATGAAAGGTATCCTAAATAAAGAGGTAACGTTTGGGCAGTTCTCCAACCCACTAACCAACTTTATTTTCCCTCACCCACTAATCAAACAAATTTTCCAAGAAACCCCTTATCTTAAATTGAGGTGAGAAGCAGAGGTGGGTCGGAATTCCGATTTCCGGCGTTTTTTCCCTCCGATTTCCGAAAAAAAAATTATTTCTGATTTCCCACACCTCTGACTGTTTCGACCCACTCTGTTTGGAAGAATCTAGAATGAGTTTCTGAATACAAAACTTACAATAGAATAACCACAGCACCACCACCACCAACAATATAATAATAATAGGGAGGAAATACTTCTTTTGGTGTCGCTTTAATTCCTTTAGTTGTTCCATTTGTAATGCTAGGAAGTTTAGTAGAAGTTGTTGTTTTTAGAGGTTGGATGATTGTAGGGATTAAAGTAGAGAATGTTGTGGATGTTGTTAAGTTGTCATTAAATGTTCCGTTTGTATCATTCACAGAAATAGTAGAAGTATAGTTTTGGGTCAAAGTTGAGTAATTCATTGATGGAGAAGTGCCAACAGTCCCATTACTCGATTGTGGCAAAGTTTCGTTGTCTGAAATTATTTATTTTTATTAGAGTAATTATATTTTGTTTTACTCTGTTCAGGTTTTGAAGTAGTGTTAACTGAAGGTGGTGGAGAACTAGAATTTGTTGGTGGTTCTGTTGATGATGTATTTACTGTCATTGGCTTTGTAGGTGGGTCACTCTTTGACGAAGGAATTGTTGCATTTGGTGTAGTAGAACCCGTTGGCTCTTGACTGATTGTCTCATTGGTGGCTGAAGAATTTGTTGATGGTTGAGCAGTTGTTGTTGTAGTTGATGAATTAGCTTCTACAACTTTTGACACCTTCTCTAGAAGTTCATAATCTGGTCGTTTCTAAAAAAATAAAATTTTGCATAGAAATTGAAAAGGGATACTCACAAAAGCTATGGACATATTCCTGCAATGATTAGGTGTAAAATCAGGTAATTTTCCAGTAAGACCAAGCTCGCCACGCTCACGAGATGCTGACCTTGGAAGGAGATGGAATGTCATCAACTTTTTTCTTTTAATTTCCTTTTTAACGTTCCCTTCAATTTCCCACGCCTTAGGTTTGATAATCGAGCCAAAATTGATACAGTTGAAATTTTTTGGGTCGTTGTAAACTTCATCTCGCGCAGACACTGGTTTGCCATCTTCTCTAAACGTCGAAAGCGCCCCACTATTAACCTTTCCATCTTTATCTACTTTTACGGTGAAATGAACTGCTATCGTGTAATTCTCTATCGACAAAGTAGTTATATAGCCAGAATCACCAACTAAAATGGATTATTTGTTTTATTATACTCGAGACTGGCTGTCATAAAAAATGAAATCGGAAATAAATCGACACGTCAAATCGAGACCGAACTTCAATAAATGCTATAAAGTATTAACTCACGAAAGTAGACTTTTGCTGTCAGAACATTTTTGCATCGCCATTCAACTTCCAGCGCTGTCCATGGCATACAATCCGGTCCGTCAATTCCATTCCAACCTTCAAGTTTACTCCATCCTGTACATGTACCATTATTAGGGCAAGTTTCACTTTTTCCATAGAGAGGCCCATTCTTGATCTCATTTACTTCTTTATTGTTTAAACTGTATGCAAAAGGCAGGCTGAAAATACAAATTATACTCCGCAATTTTATAAATATAAACTTACATGTTAGGTCCCTTGAGGTCTTCTTCTATTTTTTTATCATTGCAAAGTCCCAGAGAAGTTGTGAACACGATGTCGTCTCTATCTGTTAGAAGATCCACCGTACAAACCTCCTTTGAGGTTTCATTATACTTCAAAAAACTGAAAATTGTTGTAAATATATGTAAATTTATTGACAAACTGAAACATACATAAAATCCTTATATATTTGAATAGAACAACCAGGATAGAGATGCTCTGGCACACTGGAGCTATTAGGTCTAGCATTGTAAATCCTGAATTCATCACTTAAGGTAACTTTTCCATCCTTTAGCGTATAATTGCCGGATCCCACTTGAACTTCCGAAGAATTGTTTGCATTTACGACAGCCAACCAAAGCAGCAAACACAAACCTCCGATCACAAACATGAAGTCGACGAATGTTCCGTTGACGTGCTTGATATTTTCTGATGTTTTTACTTGAAGAATGTTAATTAATTCTTATTTATTTCCCTTTTATATAGGCCGGCAATCTGTTCACAATCCGTTTTTCGTGAACCAAAGGTCTTCACACCATTACTACCTATTTAGGTTTTCTTTATCAAATCCGAAAATCCCTTTGGGAAACTAATTTTTTAACATGTTGATAATACATAGAATTCAGTACTCATCCAGACCACTTGGTCACAAGTCCCGATCCCAGAAATCCCGAATTTGTTAACGGTCTAAATTCTATCATATGTTTACATTAAAAACTTTACTAATTTTTAACAAAACGGAAAAACAATTTATCCCCAATATTTAAATTACAATCAGTAAATTATTTAATAGTTTAAGTGAATGTATAAATTTATTCAGAGAGAATTGGATAATTTTAGTCGACTTAAATTAAGCGAAAATATACTGGAAGTCTCGATAATTAAAAATAGAAAAATAAAGAAATTAAATTTTAAGGCGTCTTAAAAAAAGATTTTAAAATTAAAAGATAAGAAATGTGTATATTTGGATTAGAGTTTAAACCCGGACCGGATCCAGATTTTCCGGATTCATTGGTCCGGAAACCGGGTATTTTGATAAAACCCGGATTTCCCAATTTTGATCCGAAAAATTCGGTCTGGTTTAAAAGAAAAATAAAAATCCGGATCCGGCATTTTGCTAACTTTAAACTCTAATTTGAATATTTAAAAGTCAATTTATAATTTATTAACTTCATCACGGGTCTGAAAAATATTTTAATCTCCAATTAATACTTCTAACTTTTTGTGTCATCAAATAAGTTTTTCATCTTCATTATGAGAATTTGAAGGCAAAATTTGTTGTTGTGCTATTAATTGCGTATCATTATTTTCAACAGAAGTAGATGTTGACGGAATGCCATAAAATGTTGGCTGAAAATTTATTTTTCTTTTAATACAAATTTCTAATTTAAAAAATTATTTAATTAAAATTACTTCCATACTTGACCCATTCCCTTTTTCCTTGAATACTTAAACAGAGAAAACGGCCAAGTAGTTCAGTTTTAATTGCAAATAATCAAAAACAGGACTTAGCCAAATTTTCGTGTGGCGCGCCAAACGCCAATTTTTCAAATTTTTTAACCACTCCAAACACCGGAATCGACCAAAAACAACGCCAAAATTTTTTAAAATAGAAAAAGGCCAAGAAGCCAAAATGTATCCCTTTTAAGCGCTGCAGACGAAAATTTTGAGAATTTAGGAAATGTGTAGGCAGAAAATTCACTTTTTTATAACCCTTCCCCAAATTTATTTAAAGAATTTCCATCATTTTGGGGTGTAAAAGTTTGGCGTTTCGAGCCCTGCTAGCTCCCCCCAGCCCTCCCTCTTGGATACAATCCACAGGTATTAGTTCGCCAACAATTCTTTTTGAAATAAGAATTTAATACCTCATCATGTGCCCTTTCCCAGTCATTTTGTTGTTGCAACGGCTCTTCACCATCAGAATCAGACGAATCATTTGCATTTATTGGTGATGAATCTCTAGTTCGTAATGAATTTTCCCCTCCTCCAACTAATTGTCCTAAAGGAGCAACAGGTTTAGGACTCATTCCTTGGCAAAGTTTATTATAACACTGAAAGAAAAACAAAAATAAAATTTAAAAAAAATTCAAAAACCGTGTCACAGACTCGAACAGGTTTCTTGCTAATTCCCTCCAACATAAATGATTTAGATGAACAACTACTACAAACAACTACACGGAAAATATACTGGTAATTAAATTTGAAAATTTCCTTTCAAACCTTTGCCACACGCTCGACAATGATGACGTCGCTGTATTACAGTGAAATGACTTGTATGACAACACTAAAAAAGAATAAATTAAAAAGAAGTTCCAAAAAGTTTTCAAATTTTTTAAAGTTTCCAACCATGCATTTAACAGCTTCTTTGTCAGGCACCCATAATGCCGCATAGTCAGAGGGGGGCAGTCTGCCTTCTTTTAGAAGATCTTGAATACAACGTTCAATATGCAACATCCATTCACGTTTCTCTGAAGGTGTAGAAGCGTAGACGAGAAATGACTGAAAGAGTAGAGAATACTTGTAGAAATTAAAAAATTAACAGAAACACATTCAAAAATGCACACCGAAAATATAATAATACAGACAATGAATTAGTTCGCCTTTTATTCTTCCTTTCTCAATTCCAATCAGCCAAAAAAACCACAGGGTAATAAAGTAAAATTGAGGAAGTCTGACCATTATGTACATCTTAAGGAAAAATAGGAAAGGGTTACGGAGCTTGGTATCACCCAAATACTCACTAACATCATTTGAAATAGTATTATCTTTGTTTCTGGTCTTATTCCCTTTCCATCCAGTCAGCTTTTTTTACTAATGTACAAAATGGTCAGTAATTTTTTCCCTGCAGAATTTAAATATTATGCAAGGAAAAAATGTGCTTCCTCTCTATATTCCTACCAAAAACAACAGAAAATCAAACAATTTACAATTACCTTTATTCTAGTCTTAATTAACCAGCCATTCCTTGCATCCCCCTCATCTTCAATATTTTCGAGTTTAACTTCCTCTAAAATATTTAAATTAAAAATTTAATAAGTAAAAAATAAACCAAGAGGGATAATATGTTGATTGCTATAACGTTTTCTGTTAATAATTATTGAGCCATAAATAAGCAAATCATTAAAAAGAAAAAATTGTCGGGCTTTTGGCTTCTTCCTATTAAAAATTATTTTTAAAAATAATTTCAAAAAAATCCAAACCTGCATATTTTAATCAAAATTCCTTCACCAATCAAAACTCTTCCAGTCTCAAGTAACTTTCGTCCAGAACTGCCAAAACAAGCCTCTACATTTTCAATTCGGCGTGTATTTGCTTCACTATTTCCTTTAAAAAAAGGATTTTTAAAATGTCCTTTCTTGTAAAACTTACTTAATTTGTCGACCATTCTAGAAATTTTTTTGGCAAATAAGGGGAAGTAAAATTATAAAATTAATAAAAAAATATTTTTAGTAGTCCAAATAAGCTAAAAAAATTAAGGGTGAACATATATGAAAAATTTCACTTGGATTGGTTTATTTCTGTTTATATTATAGCATTTTCCGCTAAAGCTCAAAAAATTCTTTCCGAGTTAGGGGTCTTCTAGAGGTTCTGAAACGAGTATAAGACATGAAACGTGAAAAGACCATATGTGAGATTAGAGAGCAGATCCTGGGCTTCAAAATGGTATATAGAACATGCAATTACCACGTGAATGTTATGCCCTTATGCCTTCGTGAAAAAAAACGAAACTAAATATGTTACAACAGAATACATATTGTCTTTATAAATAGGGTTGTCGGTTTCTGAAAAATCTTCGAATATCCGAAATCGAACCGAAAAATCATCGGTTCTTCGGTTCGGTTCAGAATCGACAACCTATAAATGAATAAAAAAATATTCCGATTCAGAATTTTAAAACTCCAATTTTTTTGCATTTGGTCAATTTTTTGAAAATCCGACCAAGAATTAAAAATCTTAATCTCGACTTTTAAGATTTAAATGACGTCACTTTTAACGGGTATTAAATGAAAATTGCTTTTAAATCAATATCCTTTTTGTAAAAAATAGTAAATGGGGCATAAATTAGCAAATAATTTTTCTCGTCTTTCTAAAAAAATATTTTTTTCTAAAAAAATTATTCATTTTATTTTTTAAAATAAAATTAGTAGGAAAATACAAAAAATAATTTCTTTTCAAATATTTTATTCAATTTATAATTTATTAAATGTCCTACAAAAGCAACTTTCATTTAATAAAAACATTTAATAGAATGTGTCATTTTCAACATTTTTTGGATTTTTTGAATACTTTTTTGTAAAAAATATATTTTTATGTTAACTAGTAAACTAAAAACTTTTAAAATATAAAAGTGGTATAGAAAATAAAATTTCTTTTCTACCATAAAAATATTATAAAAAGATTTGCATAAATATTTTTTAGAAAAAATTTTTTGAGAAATATATGTATTATATGAGGGATTACATATAATAATAAAATCCAAAAATTCGATAATTTATGCAATAACGTAAATAAAATATTTTTAATTTAAAAATCTGAATTTTAACAATTTACAGAAAACAAAAAAAATTAAAAATACTTTAACCATTATTTTCAATATTCCAACTCTGTCCATGTCCCAAAGTTATAAACTTATTTTCATTCAATCCTTCGGCTTGAACTGCTTCTTCTAATTTTGATTTTGGTTCCATATAGGGTTCAGAAGAGCCCATTTCACTATTTTTTTTAATTTTAAAAATTAAAATAAATTCTTGTCTTACTAAGTTCCCCAATGAACAGCAATACTTTTCTTTGACCTAACCAATTTGTGTAATTGTACAGCCTCAGAAGTGTCAATATGTTGAGGATGCATAAACCATCTTTATTTTTAGAAAAAAAATTTTTTAATTAAAATTAAAAATAATTTACCTCGGAGAATAACAACCAATTGGAATTGCACACAAATCAATAGGCCCAAATCGATTCCCAACTTTTTTAAATTCTTCTTGACAAAAACCAGTATCTCCAGTATAGAAAAATTTATGTTTCGGTCCTTCAATTATCCATCCACTCCTAAAATTTTAAACAAAAATTTCATCAAAAATATTCAAAATACCAACCAAAGACTCTAAAAATAAATAAATTTTTAAAAATTATTTAAAATTTTGTATAAACCTTATTACGATCAAAAATAGATCTTTGACTCCAATGTTGTGCAGGAATTGACCAAACAGTGTATTTTTCTCCAGAAGTATTGGGAATTTCAAATTCCTTGCTCTCCCCCTGTTGAATAGAATAATTAGATTTTAATTTAATTAAAAATTGTTAATTGATGAAAACAAATTAAGAATTCCGGGTAATATTGAACCGGACAGCTCCCCTTCATTCCTCCCCAATTTTTCCCCGATATTTTTCCTCCTTTTACTTGTTTTTAGCAAGTACTTGCACTTGTATAAAATTAAATACCTAATCCTTTTTGTTTGATTGTAGGCAAAAATTAAAAAGGCAATTAGGATGGAAGAAAGAAAAAAGTTTGACCATTTTGCAAAAATATAGGGGAAAAATTGGGGAGGAAAAGGGGGTCTGTCCGTTTCAATATTACCAAATTCCGAAATCTAACAATTATAAAACTATCGGCTTTATAAGTTAATTACTGTCATAGTTAAGTTTATGAAACGCCCATTTTAGCGCCTCATAAAAGGCGAGAGAGAATAGGCCAAATTAACTTATTCATTCACTTAATTAGTTTTGGGCCCGATCAAAAGTTGGCCTGTCCTCTCTCCCTTTTATTAATTATATTTGTTGAATAAAAAAGTTAAAAGAAGGCCTTCGTTTTTAATAGGTGGATCGGCGCGCCCCAAGGGTGGGTTACCACTCTTGGGGCCCAACGCCGACTAACCCCCTGAACAAAGGGGTTAGGGATATATAAGATGGCGCTCCTGTAATTCTCCACCTAAAAAAAAAATTCCTAATCCACCCAAAAAATATTTCTAAAAATATTCCAAAAATATTTATTTAAAAAAATTATTTCTTCAACCCATCAATCAACTTAATTTTGGCGAGCGGAAAAATATTTCTTATTTATTAAACTAGTTTTTTTTGGACTCCTTTATTTGCAGCAACGCGCAAATTGGCCGGAAGTGGGCAAATAGGAAAGAATTTGGGAAACGCCAAAATTTCTTATCACAAGAATTACAGCTATCTCTTGTGACATTACAACAAAGAAATTTTGCGCGAGCAAGTTTTAGGCGTGACCGAAAGGGAGAAATTAATATAAAAAGGAGTTTAAAAATCTACCAATTTGGCTCACATTTGATTACTGAAGAGTCGAATAGGAGCGAGGGAATTTTCAAACGGATTCATTCATCAAGGATACACAAGGATTTTTTCACACAGACGGATTCATTCAAAAGATACACGGAGGGAACAAAAGGAGCAGAAGGAAGATAAACACATAAGGGATATTCTGAGGATAATACCAATAAAGATAAGAGGGAAAAGGCTAAAGCGAAGGAGTTCAATTGGAGCGGAAGATTTTAGTTTGGGTTGATTGTTAAGTCAGTAGCATTTGAAGTGAGAGAAGGATAAAGGTTGGGAAGGATAAAGGACAAAGATCCTGGAAAATTCTGGATATAATCTCTTGAAACAGGCCTCTAGTGAAATTTTATAGCCAGTCTTGGAATAAAAGCTTAAAAAACGTGCACGTGGAAAAAACAAATTGAGAAATAAGAGCTCGATCATTTTCCTAACAGACCAGGGGTGATTACTGCAGAATCACTTCTGGTTCCCCACTGTGGGCAAAAAGCTAGCTAAAAGTGGAAATATTATTTGAAGTGTTAGGAAAAGTCGAGCATTGGAATAAAATTGGAAAAAAAATTATAAAATAAATCAAGTCCGGACAAAGACTGACTAAAGAATTAATAGAGGCTTGTGATGAAAGAAGAGGACATTTCAGGATTGGAAGTGGATAATACAAAGGATAAAGGGGATAATACTATTGGTACGAGCTCAAGTGGACTTCCATACCCTACCTTCTTTAATGGCAATGGAGATTTTTTGAGTTATCTAAGGACTTTCAACCGAATAGCAACGGCACACAATTGGACTCCCTCGAGATGCACGCAGATTTTACCGCTTTATCTACAAGGGTCTGCACTTGCGATTTACGAATCAATGCCCGTGGATGAAAAATCGCGGTGGAAGACACTTGTAGAAAAATTGGCAGGAGCAATAGCGCAAGCAAAAAGGGTTGATGAATTAAATCGGACAATTAAAGATGAGACGAGAAAAAGACTGGAGAAAATAGAAGTTAAGGCGGCGCTAGCGGAGGTTAATGAAGTCAGGGATCCATACCAAAACTATGACCAATATTACTATGAGGAGCAATTCCAGGAGTCTAACGGATGTAATGAGAACGGGGATGATGAAAAGATGGACCCAAATGTTGACCCATACTATGCCAATGACCAATATTATGATGATGAAGGCCAATGGTTTCCAAATGAAAGCAATGAGAACTGGGGAGAGGAAGGTTATCAGGATCAAGGATATCAGAACTGGCCCACTGACGGAACAGATTTTGAGGAATATTAAAAAACATTTGGCGACGGGATTCATTTTTCGAAATAAAATTATTTGCTGACCCCCCAGGAGAGGAAGAGAAAGTGGATTTTGGCGTTTATCGTTTGACATTTTCTTGGATTGGCCTCCGTTGACACATACATAATTTTTTCCGTTTTCGCCAAAATTTTCTTGATTTAATACATACAAGTGCAGGAAATTGTTGAAGTGAAATTACGTTTTGCGCGGGCTAGATTCGACTGCTAAAAGAATGGAAGCGAAGAATTAGGATGAAATGACGAATACAAGAAAAGATAGATTATGTGATGAAAGAAAATAAGAATTTCATTTCACATTTTCCGCACTTTTATTTATCCGCTTTTTCTGTTGTATCCCCCACCCCCGCGTATAGAATGTCATAGTTAAGTTTCATAAAAGGCGAGAGAGAATATATTCTCTCTCGCCTCATAAAAGGCGAGAGAGAATAGGCCAAATTAACTTATTCATTCACTTAATTAGTTTTGGGCCCGATCAAAAGTTGGCCTGTCCTCTCTCCCTTTTATTAATTATATTTGTTGAATAAAAAAGTTAAAAGAAGGCCTTCGTTTTTAATAGGTGGATCGGCGCGCCCCAAGGGTGGGTTACCACTCTTGGGGCCCAACGCCGACTAACCCCCTGAACAAAGGGGTTAGGGATATATAAGAATTACTTTCTTCAAATATTTAAAATAATTTAGCCCAGCTAATCAAAAAATTTTCATAAAAACAAACCCAATCTAATTCATGCACATTTTGTCTACAAACTACAGTGCATATAGTAGTTGCCAAACCTTTTGGCACCACAATTTTAATATTTGGAAAAAGTTCTACAAGTCTTTTAACAGCATTTAAATCAAGATGATCATAATGGTCGTGTGAAATCACAATTAAATTAATCTAAATCAAAAAAAATTTTTTTAATTATAAATAGAAAACCTCCGGTAAATCATCTATAGAACAAGGAGATGGTCGATAACGACGACAAAAATTGAGGAAAGATAGGAAACGATTAGAAAAGTTGAAAGGTGAAGCACATTTTGACCATACCTATTTTTGTTAGATTTTATAAAAAAAATTTTTAAACCTAACCGGATCTGTTAGCAACGAAATTCCATCAATTCGAACAAATAAAGTAGCATGACCCATCCATGTTGCACCCAATGGTGAATTAATTGGAAATTTCGGTGTATGGACCGGTAATTTTTCTTCTGCCTAAATAACATGAAGAGATTTTATAAAAAAATAAACATACGTCTTCATCTAAAATTTTTGGATGTCCTTTTTCTAAAAACACCCATCGAAGAAAATTTAGCCAAGAAAAAGGATTTGAAAGAGAGGGAGGTTCTATCCATGTTGTAAAACTTTTAGGATTTCCATAGTGTCCAAAATATGAAATTTCTGGCTTAGCAAAATCTTCAGAGGAATTCAAAGACTGTTGTTCCATCAAAAATTAATCAAAAAAACTTGTTTCTAAAATCTAAACAAAAGTTAAAAAGCTTTTTTAAAATTTATTTCCAAAACCGGATTTAAGTTTACACTTTGAAATTCATAAAGGGAAATTCCGTCATAATATCTAAACAACAAATGCCCATTAAAAAACGGGTACAGTCCAAAACGGCGCGGGCCGATAACGGCGCAAAGCCTTAACTTGCTGGAAAATGTCTGGCACTTGTCAATTTTGGTACCAGTCTCCTTAGCTAGATGAGAGGAATCGTTTAATACTAAATTTGGAAAGATTTGGGTATCTTGAAGCAAGTTATGGCTTTGCGCCGTTATGGCGCGCGCCGTTTTGGGCGTATCCCTTAAAAAGGGAAAAGGTCGATTCAGAGTCGCCGATTCAGAGTCGCCAATTCAGAGTAGCCGATTCAGAGTCGCCGATTCAGAGTAGGGGACTATTCAGAGTAGGGACAATTCAGAGTAGCCAATTCAGAGTACGGGGAAAAGGGGACGATTCAGAGTACATAAATTTTCTGACATAGAAAATCAGCTTTTTTCTGGTTTTTCTTACTTCCTACGATCTGAAGAACACTTTAAAAGCTAGCCGAGTATTGACTCTAGGCTTTTCTTAGGCTTTTTCGGCCTTAGGGTAAAGTTTTGGCCTCTTCTTTTTTTCTTCAGGGAACAAAATTTTAATTAAAAAATGAGTCAAATAAACAAAAATTTATCAAAAATTAAATAAAATCATTTCCTCTTCTCACTTATTAAATTTGTGGCCTAAAGAGGGCCGTTTGGGGAGAAAAAAATTTCAAAAAAAATTCAAAAAATAAAACAAAAATTCTTTTAAAAAATCTCTCAAAATAGAGTAGAAACTTCGTCGATTTAAGTTTTTGCAAGTTTTTGCAGAAATTTGGAGAAATTTAAAAAAATTAAAGAAAATTTTAAATTTTTATTAAAAATTAATTTCTGCCATTTACTAATTTCCGTTGGTTGTGCAAATTGTTGTTTTTCTCTCTAGAACAATAAAAGGAAACAAAAAAGAATAAAAAGCAAAAAAAATAAATCACTTCCTTTCCAGAAATCTCGATTTTTAGGGTATTTTATTCTATGTACTCTGAATCGTCCCCTTTTCCACGTACTCTGAATCGGCTACTCTGAATAGTCCCTACTCTGAATCGGCGGACTCTGAATTGTCCCTACTCTGAATCGGCGACTCTGAATTGGCGACTCTGAATCGGCTACTCTGAGTCGTCCCCTACCCCTTAAAAACCTGTCTTCATAAAATTTAATGTGTATTTTCGTCTTTGATGTTTAACATCTTTTTTTTAATGTTCAAAGATTAACATCATGGGTCCACTATTTTTATCACAATTGTGAATGACTGACTATGTGGGAATGAAAAAGAAAAGAAATAAAAAAATAGAAACAAGAAAAATAAAAAGAGAGCACATTTGAGCTAGCTTTACTCGTCTTTAACGCGCTCCGAAAACCCTTCTCCCTTTCCTTTCATTTTGCTAGTAAGTAAAAACATTTGGCCAGTTTGCCCTTGAAAGATTTATTTAAGGATTCAATGTTCAACCATCTTTTTTAGAGTTTAAAGTAATAAAAAATATACGATATATAACGAATGCACGTGTATATATTTATTATTTTTCTAATTTTTTACTCTTTTGGATATTAAATTGAAAACTAGTTTTTTAGTATATTCATATAAATTGCAGAAATATATAGTAGAGGACGGCGCAGGACAGGATCCTGCACAGGATTTTTCAGGATCATGTCCCAAAGGGTACAGCCCAAAACAACGCGGGTATAGGATCCTGCCTGATATAGGATCCTGCAAATGTGATTTTACCGACCTCTAATATATAGGAATTTTGGGATAATTTACTTAATAAAACTTCCAGATATTTTTTACCTTATAGTTTTCTTATTTTAATATGTAGAATTTTCAGTAGATTTACATATTTTCAATAAAATTATGGTTTCTCCACATTCACATTCACTCAGTAAAGAAGAAATTGCTCGATTTAGTCGCCAGTTGATGCTTAAAGGAATTGGGCCATCAGGTTGGATTTTAATTATAAAACTAAAAATTTTTTATTTTCTTCAGGTCAAGAACGTTTACGCGAAATTCGAGGTTTGAAATTCTTTTTCCTGAAAATAATTTTAAAAACAATTTAGTTCTTATTGTCGGAGCAGGAGGTTTAGGCTGTCCAGTTGCTATTTATTTGGCTGCTGCGGGTGTTGGCAAAATTGGAATTGTTGACCATGATGTTTTCTAAAATTTTTTATTTTGAATTAAAAACAAATTTTCAAAGATTGTAAGTGTTGATAACCTTCATAGACAAATTGCACATAATGAGAATCGATTGGAGGAACCCAAAGTTGATTCATTAAAACAGTCATTGCTTAGGTTTGGAGAATTTAATTTTTAAACATTTCCTTTTTATTTTTTAGTATCAATAGTAAAGTGGATGTAGTAGCGCTTAATGTACTTTTAACTAGTAAAAATGCTCAACAAATATTTTGTGATTATGATATTGTAGCTGATTGTTCAGATAATGTTGCAACAAGGTTATAAATAAATTTTAATGTTTTTTTGGCCCTATATGAAAGTAATGCCTGGATCTTATTTTTCCTCATTTCCTTGAAATGGTTTTTTTTATTACAGGCATAACACGGTCCTAAAAAATTAAAAGAAAAATGTTCTTTGGTTAAGAAAAAATAACCTTTTTAAGGAAATGAAAAATATGATCCCGGCACTCTTTTCACATAAGGCCCTTTGTTGATTTTGGGCTTTAAGACTCATCCGCATCCTTTTCTCCCAATTTTTCTGTTATATTCCTTCGACAACTAAATCAATCAAAAACGATTAAATTTCAGCATATTTTTTTAGTTTCTAAATGCATAAAGGGATCGAGAGGGAAGCAGATTAGGGGGTCATAAACAGTGTTAGAGCATTCAAAATTTCTTCGACTCATAGCTGCCTAATTTTTTTAAAATTTTGGTACGAGTTTCCAAGCACTCGTCATAAAATTCCAAAATTGCTTTTATTCTTCAAAAAAATAATTTAAGGTATTTAATTAATGATGCTTGTGTACTTACTGGCAAACCGTTAGTTTCTGGTAGTGCTTTAGGTTGGGAAGGCCAATTAACTGTTTACAACAATGGACAGGTTTAATTTATTTTTAAAAAATATTTTTTTATTTTTTTTCTTAATTTTATAGAAATGCCCGTGTTATCGTTGTATTTTCCCTGAACCTCCCAGCCCCGAAATGGTAACTAGTTGTTCTGAAGGTGGTGTTCTTGGCCCAGTTGTGGGTGTAATTGGAAGTTTACAGGCGCTGGAAATTATTAAAATTGCCGTTTTGGGAAAATGTTTGGATTTTTTATTTTAATTTTCATTAGAGTTGAAAGTCTGGGAAATGCCGGATCACGTTTCGGGATTTATGAATTTTTTATCCGGACCGGATTTTCGGGAAGATTTTCGCTTGGGCCGCAGGCGGAAATTTTGAGAATTTTAGATTATCTACATAACAATAAGCAAAAATTCACATTTTGTTCATTTTCCTCCAAATTTTATTCATTTTTCCTAATTTCGGAGGACTGGACCGGGTATTTTCTGACACGACCCGGACCGAATTTTGGGGTCAAATCCCGATTTTTATCAAAATACCCGGATCGAGACCATCGGATCCCAAAAATCCGGTCGGGAGCATGTCCGGGTTTCAGCTCTAATTTTTGTATTTTTTAGCTTCTTTTGCTGGTAATTTGTGGCTTTTTGATGGGTTTGATGGAAAAACTAAAATGATTTCTTTGTAGAATTTTTATACTTCAAAAATTAATTTCTTTATTTTAGACGTGAAAAGATCGCTGGATGTGCAATTTGTAGTGAAAACCCAAAAATTACAGAATTACAAGATTATGAAAAGTTTTGCGGGTCTGGACCAACTGACAAAGTATTTTAATAATTTTTAAAAATAATTTTTTAAAATTCTCTCAAAGGTTCGTTCACTCGATTTACTTCCAAATGATCAGCGAATTACGACGGCAGAATATTCCAACCTTAGGCATTCTAAAGGAAATATTTTGTTGGATGTTAGACCACACAGCGAATTCGAAATTTGTCACTTGCCTGAGGCAATAAGTAAATTATTTACAAATTTATAGTTGTTAGATAATCTGAAATTTATTTCGAGATATAGTCGAACCCCATTCTTATGTTAGCTACCTCACTTGGGGATGAAAAATTGTACCTTGTAAAGTTATCATAAATAGGGAGTATTTCTCTATTTATCTACCATGTGTAAACCCAAATAATGGAGACTTCCAAGACCGTAAATTTTCCAAGACCCAAGACTAGCCCCAGACTGAAAAAACCCGAAGGACTAAGAGTCTTGGAAGTATCTACTAAATAAAAATCTTAAATTGAAGAGTACCTAATTTTGGGGATATCTAAAAACGGGGTTTGACTATATTTTTAACAAAATATTTTAGATATTCCTTGGGACGAAATGAAAAAAGTAAGCATTGAGACTGTTATCGAACAACTTAATGAAGAGAAAGAAAGAAGGCAGGAAAATGGAGAAGGAATAAATGGTATAATTTTAAAAATTAATTGAAATAATTAGAATTAAACGAGTATCACATTAACCAATAAATTAAGAATAATAGAAAAGCCGTAAGTAATAATTTAATTTTTGATTAAGTGTATAAGTCACATCATTAAGTATAAAGGAAATTAAAATTTAGAGAGATTTTGATTGTACCTGTGATTCTTTGACTTCTGAATTTATCAAAAAAAATTTAATCGATTTTCAAAATCCAAAGAACAGAAAACCAAAGAATCACAAGATACATTGGATTATGCAATTCATAAATTTATTTTTTCAGTTTTTGTCTGCTGCCATCGCGGCAACGATTCACAACTTGCTACTCGACATCTTCGTGAGCGCCTCTCAACTGCTGGTTTATTGGGTAGCAGGTTTACCAATGTCCGGGATATTTCTGGCGGTTTGGAAGAATGGGCTCTGAAAATTGATGATACATTTCCACGATATTAAAACGAGATTTATTTTAATTGTTTAAAGAGATGGCGTCAATTTTTTAAATAAATGCTCATTTTTTAGAAGAATGTTGGACGATTATCTAAATTTTAATTTAAAAGAAATTGACGCCATTCCCCCTTTCCTCAAATTTACTAACCGAAAGGCTCAATCGTTCTTTTATGTTACCAATCACAATTTGCAATTTTGAAGCTGCCGTGCGAAGTGTATGACTTTCAAAAGATATTAATGCTTCATTAGATTGTTGTTTTAGAGTTGGGTCTATGTTGATAACATCTTGATTTTCTAGAAAAAAATTTCCTTCATTTTATTCTCATTTAAATTATATATTTTACTAAATTATTTAGCTTTACTCTCTACCCTAATTCTTTTATTATATTTTAAGCCCAGGAATTATTTAAATTTAATCATTCCACTTCAAAAAATATGTATTTTTCGTTAACAACTCTAGAATAAATTTAATTAGTAGCCACTCACTTTTTTTGTAATCCAAAAACATTTCTAATCTCTCTTCATCCTCTTCTTCACTGCTTTCATTGTCCTCATCCATTAAAAATTTTTCATCATTTGGCACTTCGTGTGTTGGCAATTTTGGAGGATTTAATGTATACAAAAATACTGAACAGATAACCAAAGAAACACCTCCTATTAAGGAAAAGGAGAATTGTGAGTCTCCCAAAAGTATTGACAAGATAGCTGTGCCGCCAAGTGCCACAGTTTGACAATAACTTTTTTTGATATTGTCGGCATACTTTTTTGAAATGGTATTTTAAATTGTTAAAATAATTTAAATTACCTTCACTACAAAAGCAACAATAAGTCCATTAGCAGAGCTACTTCTAAAAGAAGGAAAAATAAGTTACCGTTTATTTAAAGATAAATAATACAATCAGACCCCGATCTATTCAAAAAAAATTAAATTTGCTTGGTGAAGGTCCCCAATAATGAATACACTATTAAGAATAGAGACTGGGACCAGGGGTGGGCGCAAGAGGGAATCGTAAAAAACGCAACGCAAGACCAAAAATCAACGCAATGCGCCCACACTTGACTGGGACTGTCTGGAGAGAGTCTGGACAGAGACTGACAGATCTGACAGGCTCTCAGAAAGACAGAGACTCCGAATGGGCCTGGGAGTGTCTTACGAGATATCTCGAAAAATTTCGATAATCGAGATCTCGACTCGATCCTTTAATTTAGATTAATTTTTTCATCCCCTATCTACAAGTGAGGTCTGACTGTATTTAAAAAAAATTATTTCCATACAATACAATTAACCAAAGTCGCCAAGTCCAACCAGCAAAGAAACTTCCCCCTACAAATTAAAATCTGATAAAATAGTTTAACAAATAATTAAACTTTTCTGAATTTTATCCGCATCATTGACAATTGTGAGTAAAGCAAATGGAAGAGTAATTAAACTAATACGAATATTCTATAATTACAATAGAGATAATTTTAAAAAATTATTTTTAATTGTTTTTTCGTTCCCACCATTGGATTCCCACATTATTTCCCTCCATTTTATAGGAAAAATGACAGAAAAATAATATTGAGATTATGAAGTATTTTTTAATTTTTTAAATTTATTAATTACCTGCATCCAAATATCACAAGAACTTTGTTTAAGAACTGCTTCCAAATAAACCCCTGCAAATTTGATTTTAAAACAAGGCGGAAATAGGATTGAGAAATATATTTCCCAGTAACCCCGCCTATCCACAACTAATATAATTCAAAGAAAAAGCGAAGGAAAGGATCAGTTAGTCTATTAGTCAGTCGGTCAAGTGAATAAGTTTTATTATATTTGTTGCCCGATCGGGGGAATTAGACGTCGTCCGTTTAATCGCTCTTAAGGAAGAGTGCCGGAAAATTGGGCTCTGGAAAATCTTGGAGCCCAATTTTCCGGACACCCTTAAGGAATATTGTCCGGTCGGACTAGCCCAGCTGCTTTATTATATTTTTTTATTATTTACTCAGTTAGGTCAATCATTATTTTTTGACGGATTTTTTAATTAAATTTTTTGCATATTAAACATAATATTTTGTCCATCATTAATTTTAAATTAAAAATTACCGGCAAAAGCAGATGTCCAACACATAACAAAAATAGTTAATAAACCAATTAATTCCTCATTTTTATGTTCGGGTGATTCATTCACAGAATCTTTTGAAATCTGTACAAGACAAACACCCAAAACAGAAATACAAAGGGCTCCCCATTGAATACGAGAGAAAATTCTACTCAATAAAAGCATTGACAAAAGTGCTGTAGCCAATATTTTAAGTTGAAAGGTCATCTTTATTTGAGAAGTTATTTAGGTTTTAAAATTTTATAATTAAAAAATATAAATTGGAAAAATAATTTTTTATTCCCATAATTTGTAAACGAATCGAGACGAGATCTCGATCGAAAATCCTCGGTTATCGAGATCGAGAATTTTTCAAGATCTCGATTCTCGTACGATACTCCCAGTCTGGTCTCTATTGTAAACTAATGGATTCGATAAATGGATATTCAGATTAGGAAATCGAATTTTACACTATGTCAGACTGTCACCAGTAGAAGTAATCTTATTGAAAGTAATCCTGCCAAAACTGGCCAGATACAGAAATGAATAAAGTAAGTCGGATCGGATCTTCTGTGATAATCCGGAGATAATGGGAAAAACTTGGATTTCGAAATGATTCAGATTCTGAAAAATTTCTACTTTAAAAAATTCTTTCAAAATTTATTTTTCAAATTTTACTTTTTAAAGTTTAAAACCCTACAGTATAGAGAGTTGCATCAACCCTTTTAAGAACAAAAAAGTAAAGGTTGTTTTGTACAACATAAATAATTGCTGGCACACAAACTTTTAAAGTTTCTTTTTTGTTTTTAAGAAAAGCACAAGAAAGATCATCACAAAACCAAAAAAGAGCAATTATATTAAAGATTAAATATTAAAATTTGAAAATTACTTTTGAAGGCCATTAGAAAACAAAAGAATAGTACAACAAAATAATAATTTTGCAACTGAAATTGACATGTACTTTTTGGTTAACCGCCCATATTTCTTTTTACCTTTTTTGGTACTTTTCCGTTATACGACCGCAAACTCAGTGCCAGCCGACTTTAAACAGCTATAAATGTATGAAGCTTGATCCCGTACAAATGAATTTTATATCATTCAAAAGCCCTCAATAAGCTTCAAAAGCCCTCAATAAGCTTTTTTCTAAAGTCTGATCACTCATTAAAAAGTTATAACCTGATAGGTCATAACCGATAATTTATTTGGTGTTTTACACGGTTATCGGGTTATAACTTATCGAGGGCTTTTGAATGATATAGAACTCATTTTTATCGGATCGAGATTCAAGAAGTTATAGTTGTTCAAAGTCACTGGTATTCAGTGTGCAGTCGTATATTAAAGTTGCCCTAAGGGAAAAAAGAAAATATGGTTGGACAACCGAATTGTAACTAAAAAGCTTTAGGTTCAAAACCGAACCGAAAATCGACAGAGAATGGAGGATTACTGGCTTTATCCGATCCAAAAATTTTGCCTCTACCCTATTTCTATTTCGTCTTGACGAAAATTCCCTCATTGAATATTTCGAATCGGTTCCGGATACCCGAAGATTTTCCAAAAACCGACAAACTTACTTTCAATAATAAGAACAATTGTTGAACCAATAAAAGGTTCTGAGGTTTCTTTTGCATGTTTATGTGCTATTCGAGCAATTAAAGGGTTGACTGTTTGAGAAAAAGTTAAGAAGATTAGGGACACATTTTGGACTATTTGTTGTAATTCTGGACTTAGAGTAGTCTAAAAAGGAAATATTTTTAAAAGATTTTTTTTCGGAATTTACTTTAATTTGAATTGGTTGAGCTTTCCACATTTTTTGTCTTTGAAGTGTTCCATTTTTGTTGTTATTTTCACGAATATTTGGAATATACAAATTATTTGTTAAAGATTCTTTATTTTCTACAGAAATATTATTGACCATTTTTGAATTATTCTTCATTTGTAAAATGAGAATTAAATTCTATCAATTCAAATAAGCCTTTGAAGTATTGAGGAAATAAAACTGAGTGAAAACATTGTTGCCTTTTGTTTGCCTAGACCATCTAAAAATTGAAAATATTTGTTTAAATTGAAACGTGTTTAAATGTTTCTTTAAAAAAATAATTTTTTATAAAACTTAAAATTACTAATATTATTTTTAGGTGGAAAATTAAAATATACCGTAAAGCAAGAATAATTACCCCCTCCTTTTAATTTTCTAATTTTAAAAATATTGAGAAAATCATTGTCAATTTTAATTATTGAAACATTAAAGAATAACAAAAAATAAATGGATTTCCTCCTCGATTTATTGAGATATACCCTAAGCTGAGTGACCCATCCCAAACCACGAAAATAGAGCGCAGCCACTCAAAAATGTGGCAAATTAGAGCGAAATTGGTTACAAATACAATAATTACCCAGGGTAGTTATTCGAGCATATACGGTAAGCAAATTTACCTTTATTTTATTTGTTCACATTTTAAAACAAATTTTCGAAGGTCAATTATAAAAATCTAAATTTGGAAAAGTTAAATAAATATACAATATTTAAATACTTCTTGTTATTTATAAAAATATAAATAAATTTAACAAAAATTTTAAAAAACCAAAAATCCTTCCAAAAAAACATTTATTTATCCAAACATAAAAATAAATGGAAGCAAAACACAATAAAAATCATTTAATGTGGCATATTTTGAGTATCAGAAAAAAATCCAAATTTATATAAAATATTTTTTAAAAAAAAGTAAAAGTGAAGAGAGAGAAAGAGTTTTTCAAATTTTTAATTTTTTCCACCCGTTCTCCAAAAAATTGATATTTATTCAATCATTTTTAATTGCCAAAGTATTGTTTAAATTCTTTTGTACATTACAAAGAAAACGATAAGCATTAAAACGTGGATCGTTTTGCTTTAATTTCCCAAAATGTTGCTTATATTTTTGCATAAACCAATCAAAATGAAGTGCTCTCATCTTTAAAAAAATAAATTAGAAAATGTAAAGATAAGGGGAAGGCCCTAGGGTACGGATAGATTTTTGCAGACTTTTCCCGCTTTTCTACTTAAATCAATCAACAAAACATCATTTAAAAATATACCTAAATTGTTTATAAAAATATTTTTAATGTAAGAGAACATTCTTAATAAATTTTCCAAATTCTACACTGAAAAACTACTCTTTTTTATTGATAGGAGTAATAACGATAGCAGTAAGAAAACGGCCAAAAAATCGAAACTTCCCAATAAAATAGAAACGAATTTTAAAAATCTAGATATTTTAATAGAGGTTCAAAAGCTACGGACACGAATCGATACACTGCCAAGTTAATGCTAGAATCTTAGCTCATCAATAAATAACTGATAGACCCTATAAACTGACCAACCAAGCTTACCTCCCATAAAATTAAAGTTTGAAAAATAATTTAAATTATCAAAAAAACCTTTTCAGCAAATCCAGAATAACAAGATAACTCTTTAATTACATTTATTTGATCAGAAACTATACTGGAATCAGTGTAATTGTTGTGAATTTGGTGAATGGCATTGGAAAGAAGCTTATCCAGGCAAACAATTACATATTGATTGACAAAAGGCTTATACTTTAAAAAATAAAAATTTAATTTTAAAAATCTTAGAAAATTCCAAACCGAAAGAAGTTTGACGAGAAGCGTGCATAAAGGTCGGATAACATAGAGATGGGCAACGCTTCGATTCAAATCTGTTATGCATTCAAGTATCACTGGAAGAGCACGGTTTTGTAACATACATTCCATAGCAACATGTGAACTATCAGCCAGACGATCTTTAAAATTATGAATATATCATTACTAAAAAATCATCAAAAAACCATACTTAAACGTAAAGCCATAACTTTCCGTTCAGTAAGCACAGTAGACAAAAGACCATTCAAGTAACGCAAAATCCGTTGTTTTAATGGTTCACAACGCTCTTCTTTTGGATTTTCCTCACTACATGGTGCTTCTCTAAGTTGTAAAACACAACATTTTAGCTTTTCCTTATGTTCTTGCAACATAAATTTGCGATAACGAAGACCGCGCCACCATGCCTAAAAATTAATTTGAAAAAAGATAGGTACAGCCCAAGTAGGCGCACGGCCAAGTAGGCGCAAAGTCTTATCTTGATTCAAGATGTCTAAATCTTTCAAAATTTAGTATTAAACGAATCCTCACATCAACTAGAGATTGGTAACAAAATTGTTACGGTCCAGAAATTTTCAAGCTAGTTTCACCTATTTGGCCGCGCGCCTACTTGGACGTGTCCCAGAAAATCGAAGTAATTGTGGTCAGAAAACGTAAACTATATTTAAAAATCGAGATAAGAATTTCACCTCATTATAAATTTAAAAAAATCACCTGAATTACACTTGCAGCCTTATTCTCTCTAAGAGTTGTTGGTGAATTTTCAACTTTTAAATTAATCGACTCTTCATTCGCATTCATCACAAACCATTTCTGTTGAAATTTTAGTAATTTAATAATTTAAAAAAGAAAAATACCTGCTCCAAAATATCCTTTAATCTCAACCAATGTTGCTCAAGTTTATCATGCATTTTGAGAATATACGATAGTTTTGTATGAGAATAATCCATAAAAGTGTGTAAGACATAATTTACTTCAAGATTTTCCATATCAAACAATGATTCTAATAAATCTAAAATTTTTAGAAAATTTAGAAAAAAATTAAAAATCGAAAAAGGACGCCAAATCAAGTAGGACATTCTGCCAACTAGACAATTTGCCTAAGGACAATTGGTGTCAAACAAAAATGGCATGAACAGTCAAACATATTTAGTAGAGATCGAGATTTTTGAAAAGCCTGGGCCTGTTCCTGGGTTCCGGGTTTGATTTATGACCTGGACCGGATCCTGGGCCAGGAAAAACCCAGGAAGGTCAAAAAATGCCTGGGCCTGGACTCTGGGTGCAGGAAAAACCCAGGCCTTTGTCCAGGCCCAGCTCGATCTCTAATATTTAGATATTTAAACTGACATTTAACAGTTTGTTTTGCCCAAAGAGCAGTTTTAAAAAATAAAATTAATTAAAGCTTTAATTATTTCGTTTATAAATAAATAATGAAATGAAAAATTTTTTAAAAAAACTAGGCAAAGAAAGGCATAGAAATGTATTTAATTTTGATAAATATTAAGTATATCTAAAAGAGAATCTGGAATTTAATTTTGTAATGTCTGAACATAATTTCCAGGGAAAAGTCCAGTAATTCCATCCATTACTCCCTCAAACCACCCATCTTCATTCTTTTTCAACACGTAAACAGTCGCTCCCTGATATAAACGTAATTCATCAGCATTTCTTGATTCATAATCATATAACACAAATGCTATAAAATAAAAATTTGTTTCAAATTAAAATACTCAATAAAAACCTTTTTCAATATATTGATGAGGCACCCAATTTGGGACAGCCATACAATTAATAGATTCTTGTTCGACAGTTAATGGAGGCGGGGGAAGTGGAAAACTGTCATCATGCTCATTGCCAAACCGTTGAATATGTTGGTCATCCTTTATGTTTACAGCGCTTAATAACAAAGGAGGGGGAAGAGGAAGAGCATCATCTTTAAAAAAATATTGGTAATATTGAACCGGACAGACCCACTTTTTGACCCTATACGCAAAAGAGGGCGCCTTGATTTTTTTCATCATTTTTTCCTACATTAATATATAATTAATGGTCAGTCTTTTCTTCCTACTTCAATTCCACTCTTTTTACCCGTGGCATATTCAAATGAGAGGAAAGACAACACGGACGGACTCACACAGACAGAACACGGACGGAAACAGACAGACAAAACTCGGACGGACTCGGACACACACTGGCAGACAAAACACGAGTGTATTCTGTCCGAGTTCGCCCGTGTTTGTCTTCTGTATCCGTCCGTGTTTGTCTGTCCTCTCATTTGAATATGCCACGGGTAAAAAGAGTGGAATTGAAGTAGGAAGAAAAGACTGACAATTAATTATATATTAATGTAGGAAAAAATGATGAAACCAAAATCAAGGCGCCCTCTTTTGCGTATAGGGCCCACGTTTTTCCTCCCCAATTTTCCCCTATATTTTTACAAAATGGTCAGACTTTTTCCTTTCTTCCATCCAAATTGCCTTTTTAATTTTTGCCTACAATCAAACAAAAAGGATTATTTTTGATATTTTATTTCCCATTTTTCCTCCCTAAATTGGGGAGGAAGAAAGGGGGTCTGTCCGGTTCTTTACTACTTAAAACCTGAATAATCTGCAGATTTGTCTAAAGGTTCGTTATTTGTAACTTCATTAAACTGAAAAAGAAAATTTTTCTGAATTTATAAAGAAATTAAAACCTCCATTCCTCGATTCCAATTAACCATATAATGCTGATCTTGTTGTGATACGGCACTTTGAATTGGCGTTGCTGTAGTCATTTGCTGCGGTCTTAACGTTCCATAATCGCAATTATTATTATTATATCTATTTGTATTTCCAATTGTCTGTCGCCTTGTTTGTTCATTTAATCCAATTGTTGAAGCATAACGTGCGTGTTGTCCATCACCATAAATTTGTTGTTGACTTACAACATTTATTGCTGGCTGAAGCATTGAGGAGTGGTAACGATTGTAGTTTTGAGAAGAATTTAACTGTTGATGAGCAGATTGAGTCTGATTAGTTGCACCACAAATTGCTTCTCCACCCATCGCAGAGCGAATTGAACCTCGAGTTAACTGAATATTCGAAATTATATTTTATGTAATATTTCAATATTTGAATTAGGGTAGCACTCCGAACCTTCGAGGGCGGGATAGTCGGAAATCGGCTTTGCCGGGGTCGAGCCTTCGGGGTTCGGGTTGGGCCAAAAAATAGTCGGGGTTTTTGCCTAAAAATTCATCGGGGGACGGAGTGCTACACTAATTTAAACAACCCCCAATCAAAATTTCATTTCCCTTTAATCAAAATTTTTCTCAAATATACCCAAATCAAAACGATATATTCCAAAATATCCTACCGTTCCATAGTTACCCGACCGAGAATAATAGTCATAAACGGGTTGTAAACGTTGTTGTTGAACAACCCCACCAATAGCTACTCCATCAGTGCTTTCAGCTGAAGTTGTTGATATAGATCTATCACCAGAAATATGCCCAGCAAAAGCAGCATAAGCATTCATAACCCCTAATGAATGTCCAATACTTCCATAATCATTGTTGTGTAAAGAGGTAACGCGTCTACCATGTCCAACACCGTCTAAAATTGAAAAATCAATCGCTGTCCGTTGATAACGAGGAGTTGGTTCCTAAATTAAAAAAATAAATATAGTTAAATAATTTTCGTTAAACCTCCGTTGAAGGATAAATTATTTTTGTTTGGCGTACCACATTCTTGGCAGTTGTCAATTTGCCAATTTCCCGTCTTGCTGCCTTTTCTTTTCTGATTGCGATAAGCTAACGAATCGGAAAAAATGAATTAAAGATTAAAAAATGAATTAAAGAAACCTGACAAATATTTTCAATTTCTCCAGTCTTTTGAGACAAATTAATTTGCTCTAGCTCTAAAGAATTTTGTAAAGAGCGAGATAATTCTCCAACAATATAGGCTACACCAGCAAGGCTTTGGAGAGTACATTGTTTTGTTGAAAGTAGGGCGTCCGCTTTATTTTGTGACTAAAAATCAAAAAAAAATTAAAGTAAAAAAATTAAAAAAAAATTGTTAAAATACTTGAAGGTAATTGGCTTCACAATAAGCTGCTAAATGCTCCAGACGGCTAGTACTTTCCTCTAGTTGTGATATTTGTGCAGGCAGATTGGAATCAAGCAAATCGCGAATATTTTGCTGAAGAATATTTCGACCATATTTATCAGATTCTGTATCCATTACAGAAACCCCGAACTAAAAAGTCTGAAAGTTAATTTAAATGATTTGTACTTTGAAAACTGAGGATAACTGAGGATACGTTAGATCGAAAGAGCTCTTCGAGCTGAGTCGATTGGCACTAAAATCATCGCAATCTGACTTGAATCAACATAGTTGTGACCGTTTGTTTTAATCCCTTATATCGGCATATCAAGCATAAAAAGCTCATAATGGTCAGGGAAACCAGAAAAGGGGGGGAAGGCGTCAGCCGAAGTATTTCCCTTTAACGTATTTTATAACATGTTTTACAAATGTTCAAATTAAAATATCCAGGAGTCAAGAACAAAGTCTTGGAAGTTTCCCTCCGGGAATTCCCGCTGTCAACTCTTCCCGCTTCAAAAATAATTTTTTTTGTTTGCGCCGGTGTCCTTGCGCCCAAGCGTGCTGTACTTACTCTTTTAGTACGTCGTAAATTTTTTGTCAACGTTCCCATAAATATTTGGGGACTTTCTAACAAAGAGTTGTCTGTTAATTACATAAGGCATGACAAAAACTAAATTGTTCCCTAATTTTATAATTGATTGGTTTTTAGAATGGAAATGAATATTACTCTTCCTTCTTTTTCCTCTGACGAATCAGAAGGCGAAACTGAAGTAAAGTCAAAAATTATTCAACAAAAACGCCCAAAATCTATTTTAAATCGCTGCAATGAAGCAATTCTTAAGAGACAGATCTCCATTTTACAAGAAAATCCTTTCACAGAAAGTTATGCTACCATCATAGGAAGACAAGAAAACTTTACCTTAATTATTGAAATTATAGAGATGGCAAGCTGCAGCTGTAAACTTTTTACTTTTTATTTTACATATTTTGTTAATTAAATTTTCAGGTGTGCCGGTTGATGCTAGTTGGTTAACCAAACGTTTCAATGAATTAACGACTGAATCAGATCAATTGGAAGATTTGGATTTCTGCCGCAAATATATACTAAAATATGCACAAGCTGCTGAATATGAAGCCCAACTTAAATTAAATAATGACAAACTTATCTCAGTTTCGATTATTAAACCTAGACAGTTTAACTTTTTTATTTTCAGCGCCAACTTCTTAACATTCGATTGAAGGTTGATGAAAAGGATAACTCGAATTCACTTAGAAAACGTGGTCTGCCACCACCTAGAAAAAGGGCACGGACTGTTGAATCTTCTGAGGTTTCTTTTAGATTTTCTCTATTTATGCTATCAATTCTGTTTAGAATCGAGTTCAGTCTGATGATGAATTTGATCCATATTTGAAACGGACAGAAGAGATTGAAGATATTTTTGCGAAGCAGCCTTCACCAGTTCCTGAACCGGCTCCAGAAGTTACTATTATTGACTCAAACGATGATGATGAATATAGTCAACCATTGAATAATGTTAGCCAAGCAATTGCGATTCCAGTAGCTTCAATAGGTATCGTTAAATTATCCTATTTTATTTTTCCTTTTAGATGGAATCAAACAAAAACCTAATGAGCCAACTAGACGACAACAAATCATACAAAGAATCTCGGGTGATACTTACGATACTGTGCCTCCAAACTACGTTTTTGAAACTCGAGGAAGGATTAGACAAAGAATCAAGCAACCCAAAATTAAACATCCAAAACCAACTGCCGTAAAGAGTCGAATTCGTTTGGAACCCGTTCAAAAACCCAAAAATATTCGTGAAAATACTTTTTCATGTTTGGAAGAGACTTTAAGGTTTCTAAAAAATTTTCTAATCAATATCAGTCTTTACTTTTTTCAGCTCTTCGGCTTCTGAGATTGAGGACAGTGAACTTGAAGATACTTCTCCAAGCAGTAGTAATCAATCTAGTATTCAAATATGTTCCAGTTCATCGAGTAGTATTCAATTTATTAAAATAAAAAGTTTGTGGTATTTTTAAGAAGCTGAGATTCCTAATTTAATTTTCAGAAAGTTCATCGCTAAGATCAACATTGAGATCAAAAAATGGAATTAGATGCGAAAAGAGCGTTCATTATACTGAAGATACAGTGTTTCCCAATGTCTTCCAGGCTGTATTTTATTTAATTTTGATATTAAAATGTTTTTATGTTTTGTAGACAAGTCCAGCTTTTCTCAAGCATAAAACTGTTACATTAACTGGTCAAACAAAAAGAGTTTTTACAAAGGTAAATTTGGTAAAATTCAAGTTCGTTCCCCCTCCTCTTTCCTTCCTCAAAGTATTAAAAAATGGTCAGTCAATCTTAAATTATAGAACTCGTCGAGCTGTGTCGAATGTCACCAAAATAAAAAAAAATCTGACTTGATTGGACCCAAATACAGACCCTGAAAATTGAACAACTATAGAGGCGATTTTTTGGAATAAAAAAATTTTTTTGCGAATTCATTCGACACAGCTCGACGAGTTCTAGAAGATAGGACTGACTTACCATCTTTTAATACTCTGAGGAAGGAAAAAGGAGGGGGAACGAATTTGAATTTTACCGTAAATTTAAATATTTTATAACTAATCTTTGTAAATTTTTAGACTCATCGCATTCTATCATCGAGAGAAAATGCTCCAGTTATCGCAAGTGGATCCTCCACCCTTTACAAAAAAGTCCCAAGCTCTGATTTTCCTATAAAAATTTCAAGGGTATTTGATTATTTTTTTATATTTTTATTTAACCCGTTATCCTTTAAGAGAGACAATCCTCTAATTAAAAAAGCACAAGAAATTGCCGATTTAAAAGAAACTATTCGAAAAGAATTTATGGAGCTTTTAACGAAATTCTTTAGTTTTAAATATCGTGTTTCTCGACTGTTTATTGTTGATTCTATAATGGAACCTCTAGATGAAGATGTTTTTAAGAATATGTCAATTTTTTCTATGGGTTATCCACGTATGCCAGAGTAATTTATTTTATAAATATTTAAAAAGACCTTTATTTTTAGATGGTTTATATATGCATTAGATCGTTGGTGGACAGATGGTAGCCAAAAACATTTTTATTTTAGTAAAGGTGAATAGTTTATTTTGTTAAAGTTGTTGTTTTCTCTCCAGTATTACGTTCTCTTTTAAAAACTGATTAGTCTGGGGAGTAGGGTTGCCAAAATGGACCGACTCGAACCGGAAAGATTGAGTCGGGCCTAAGGTATTTGGCCCGAAAGTGACTCGTACCGGCCCGACTCGATAAAAACAAGCTGGAAAAGTTGCCTCGACCGTCGGCCCGACTCGAAAACGTCAACTCCATTGGGAAGGTTCGACACAAGAGTAAGAAGGGAACTGAGGTAGCTCATGTTAAATTGTGTGGGAGCGTTGCACGAATAATTCACTGAAAAAAAAGTCGGGGTAGATTTCAGATTGAAAAAAGTTCGGTTTTTGGGTACCCTGACCCATCTCTTCTTCACACACCAAATACCTATATTCGGTGTACGGAATTTTCGTCTCTGGAAATTTCGTCTCCAAGACTTTTCGGAACTTTCGTCTCCAACATTTTCGGAATTTTCGTCTCCAGCGGAATATTCGTCTCCAAGGAAATAAACGGAATATTCGTCTCCACAATTTTCGTCTCCGCTAGGAATTTTCGTCTCCAGAGGAAAATTTACCCGTTGATGGAACACTATCCCCCGTTGACGGGGACTATCCCCCGTCGACGAAACAACTTCCCCCGTTGATGGAACACTATCCCCCGTTGACGGGGACTATCCCCCGCTGACGGAACAACATCCCCCGTTGACGGGGAAGATGTTCCGTCAGTGAGGGAGAGTCCCCGTCAACGGGGGATGTTGTTCCGTTAGCGGGGGAGGTTGTTCCGTCAACGGGTAAATTTTCCTCTGGAGACGAAAATTCCTAGCGGAGACGAAAATTGTGGAGACGAATATTCCGTTTATTTCCTTGGAGACGAATATTCCGCTGGAGACGAAAATTCCGAAAATGTTGGAGACGAAAGTTCCGAAAAGTCTTGGAGACGAAATTTCCAGAGACGAAAATTCCGGCACCCCCTATATTCATGTCTCAATAATTATATTTATCCAACTTTATTTTTTTTAGTTTTTATTTTACTTGGAATGGATTTAAATATTTACTATGCTGACCCAGAGGCTAAACAAGAAGAAGTAGTTATAAATTTTCTGAAAAGTTTATATGCTTGGTTTGATGATAAAATGAAAAAAGTTCAAAGTGATCTTCGTTTTAATTTGGAAAGAAATGATCAAACAGTCAAAGTAATTAAAAATGTTGAGGATATGCATGGCAATCCACTTCAAGTATCTCAATATCCACTTCGCTTATCGCATGTGCCATATTTTGTTGTTATTACTGTGCCTGAAATTGGAGATTGGGAAGTTTTCTTTCAAGGATTAAATGATCGTTTACGTCAATTTGTTAGCGAAAAGTAATTTTTAAATTTTTGGCGTTGATCTAGTTTGTGCATCCAATGAACTTTTATTTGTCCAATCAAAAGAAAATTGGATTTTTCTTGGTGTTGCAAAGTTGGAGTATGGTTCCAAAACTTTTCTTCATGTTCGGGCTTACGCCAACGGGGGCTGGGACCGTTCCTCCTATTCTTCGAAAGTTCTAAAAGTTAAAATCGTTTTTCTGAAATTTTTAAAAATTAGTTATAACTTTCAGAAATTTCGCGGAATAGGGTAAGGAATGGTCCCAGACCCATTTGGGCGTAGGTCCTAAACACGAAAAAATGTTTTGGAACCATACCCCAACTTTGCAACACAAAGAGAAATTCAATTTTCTTTGGACGTATAAAATTGAATTGGACGCATAAACTAGACCAGCGCTAATTTTAAATTCTTATTTAATTTTGTTTTTTAAGTAAAAGAACTTTTACTTTACTTGACTGGGCAAATATTTTAAAGAAAATGAAGCCTGATGATGTTTCAACAGTGGAAAAGAGAACAGCAGTTTTAATTAGGGAAATGCATCTTGAACATGGTGTATTATATCATTGATTCGAAAAAAAAACTTAAACTTCCCCCATTGTTTATTTCTATCTTTTATTTATGTTTTGGTCTCTTCATTTCTTTCAAAATTTCATTTAATATTTATGTTTATTTTTTAGTCTATTAAGTGACCAGAAATAAATTTAAAAATTATTTGTAATCAATTTTTAAACTCTTCCATTTTGGACTTTCCTACGATTTTTTTTAAATAAATAAGCAAGTTTTATTTGTAATTTTTTTGCAAAATTGTATCTATCTGTTGATATATTTTTTAATTTTTTAAAAAGAAATTTTTAAGAATTTATTTTCTGCTTTATACAATAATCGCCTTGGCCAAGATGGCAAAAAAGCAGTATGACCTTCTCTTTAAATTATTGCTTATTGGTGATAGTGGAGTGGGAAAGACGTGTATTTTATACAGGTTATTTTAATAAATATTTTACTTGTCCTTTTTTTCCGTGGGTTAATTAGACAATAGTGATCGAGATTTTTGAAAAGCTTGGGCCTGTTCCTGGACTCTGGGTTTCCTTTATTGACCCGGGCCGGATTTTGGGCCTGCAGTCCAAGAAAGAAATTTTTAATGAAAACCCGGGAAGGTCAAAAAATGCCCGGGCCTAGACTCTGGGTACAGGAAAAATCCAGGCCTTGGTCCAGACCCAGCTCGATCATTATTAGACAATGTTTTTCTAAAGTCCAAAATGAGACATTTAAAGTTTTCCCTTGTTTAAGATTCAGTGACGATGCTTTCAATACCACATTCATCTCCACAATTGGCATTGACTTTAAGATAAAAACGATTGAGCTTAGAGGAAAGAAGATCAAACTACAAATATGGTAAAATATTAACTTATGTTATCGACATAATTAACAATTTAAAGGGACACAGCCGGGCAGGAACGTTTCCACACCATAACAACTTCTTACTACCGCGGCGCTATGGGCATTATGATGGTGATTTTATAAATTTTGGGTGTTCGCATTTCAAAATTGACATTCCTTCTATTTTATCCTCCTATTTCTATTATTTGATTATTTGTTCAGCCATACTAAAGTATTAACAATGAGTAGGGAGTGGGAGATAATAGAGTAATAGGTACATATAGGTTGGATTAGTTTTAGAGATCGGAATTTTGAAAAAAACCGGGTCCGGGAAACGTGTTCTGAAAGTTGACCGGAAGGGACCCGGGCCGGGAAAACCGGGAATTCCCGTTCCCGGTCTCATCCCGGTTGCTTCAAAAAAACCAGGGAAGGGACCCGAAAACCGGGAAAGGGTCCCGGACCCGTTCCGATCTTTAGTTAATTTATGATAAGCTTTAAATACTTTATGGGACTGAAATTCAATTTTAATTTAAAGGTTTATGACATCACTAATACAAGGAGCTTTGACAATATTTCCAAGTGGCTTCGACACATTGACGAGGTTTTTAATTTTATTTTTTATAAAGCTCCAATTTTATTTAAGCATGCCTCCGAAGATGTTGTAAAGATGTTACTAGGAAATAAGTGCGATATGTCTGATCGGCGGGTAGTCTCCAAAGAGCGTGGTGAGAAGATTGCCTCAGACCATGGAATTAATTTTATGGAAACTTCTGCCAAGGCTAATATTAATGTTGACAAGGCTTTCCATGAGCTGGCTGAAGCAATTTTGTGCAAGGTTTTGTTTCTTTTTTTTATTTCACACATCCCAGTAATTCAGATGCCCGAAAGGAATTCGGCCACAGGCGATCAGCTCAGAGTCCGTCCAATGCATCAGTTTAACAGTGGAGGGTCTTCAAAAACTTCCTGCTGTTATCCTTGAAGTACTCTAAAGAACATTTGTGCCGATCCCAAATTTAAAAGAATGCACGTGTTCCCCCTTATAATGAAAAAACCGTGCACTGTAACGACAAACATGCACTTCCATATAAAATATTATAAAATGATTAAGCCAATTGCATTTCCTTTTATCTATAATTAATAATATTTGACTTGAATATTTTTCTAAATAAATTTTTGATTTGTAATTAAATTACAAATTTTTTTATTTTTATCTTTCCATTAAATCTTTAATTTTTTTAAATTTCCTTAAATAGTTGGGAAAATGTCAGACGATAATGACTCTTCGGAGGAGGCGGATGGGCCGTTAAAAATCCTTAAAGCTCAACAGAATAAGGAACGAAAAGAAATGAGAGGTTTTTTTGGAATTAATTTTGGATTTCTAATTTAAATATTTAAGCAAAAATCACAGCTTTAAAACATGCAATTCCTAAGAACAACGTTAAGAAAAAGAAGGAAGTAATGCAACAAGTAGAGCAAATGGAAAATGAATTGAAGAAGAGACATCAGGAACAATTACTTGGGTTAGCGAAGACTAGTGAGGATGTGAAAATTAATGAAGATGAAAAACATGAGGAGGAAGCGAATCAAAATTCTGCTGTAGATTCTGTTACTAGCTTCTTTAAAGAAATTAAATTAAGCAAATCTCAACAGAAAAAGGTAAATATTATTAGTAATCTGTTCGGCTGGGACGTTGGGCTCAGTTAATTGGGCGATCCCAATCAACGGAGCGCGCCCGCCGAATTTAAACCTCTTCCCGTTAAAAATATTAAAATAGATTAATAAATAAATACAAACTAAATGAGCCAGCCGGGGAGAGGACCTGGCAGAATCAAGACTGAAAACTGAACGGAGACCTTTTGGCCTATGTCCTCTCCTCTTTTATTGAGTAAAATTAGGGCGGGGTAAATGATAATTTAATGAACCGGTTGAGACCTCATTGATTTAAAATTTTAAAGTATTCTAAAATTCCATTTAGGAAAACAAACGTAAAGAACAAGAAGCTAAGCGATTGGAAGCTTCTCAAAAAGATCAAGAAAGTGCAGTTTATAGCAAAAGCTACAAAGAAAATGAGGCCATCAAGCAGCTTCTTATACAAAGAAACCTCAAATTAAAAGATATTCCCCCAGATGGTGATTGTCTTTACAGGGCTATTTCACATCAATATTTCTTATTGAAAGGAATAAAGGTTTGAATTTTATAATTTTAATTTTTCAATTTTTATTTAGCACACAGCAGAGGATTTAAGAATTATGGCAGCCAAGTTTATTAAGTAATTTTTAACATAATTTTTAAAAAATTTATTTCCAAGTTAAGAAAGAACAAAAAAGAATTTCTTGGTTATTTAATTAATTCTGAAGGGAATTTGGTTGATGAAGAGTCTTTTGATGATTACTATTATAAAGTAAAGCATATGTGCTCTAAAGGTGGTGATTGGGGAGGAGAACCGGAGGTTTTCTTTTAAAAATTATTGGCTCTACTTGACTTTATGAGTCCAATCAAAAAATTATTGGATTTTTCTTGGAAAGTAGGTGTATGGTTCCAAGACATTCCTTCATGTTCGGGACCTACGCCCACTAGGTCTAGGACCATTCCTTACCCTATTCCTCGACATTTCTAAAGTTATAGCCAATTTTTAAAAATTTCAAAAAACGTTTTTAGCCCTCAGAAATTTCGCGGAATAGTAAGGAATGGTCCCAGACCCAGTGTGCGTAGGTCCCAAACATGAAGAACTGTTATGGAACCCAGCCCCAAATTCAAAATGTAAAGAAAAATCCATTTATTTTTTGAGTGGACTCATAAAGATTATTTTGAGTCCACTCATAAAGTCAAGTAGACCCGTATTTTTTAAAATATTAAAAAAAATTTTTCAAATATTTTTTTAAAATCAGATTCGTGCATTAAGTGAAGTTTTAAATGTTTGTATTCAAGTATTAAATGCCGATGGGACAATAAACAAATTTGGGGAGGATGATTCAGAATCTTTACTTTTGACTTACCATAGGCATGCATATTCTCTTGGAGAACATTATAATTCGACTGAACCTGCATCTGTTTCTGAATTTGATGAATTTGACCTTAAATAATTTTGGAAAATTTTTTGCTTGATTTTTTAAAGCAATAAAGAATTTTTATTGATTTATTTTTTAATTTTTTTTAAAAAAAGTTTGAAGAAACCCTGAAATATTTTAAGAATTAAATCTTTTTAATAATTTTTTTAGAAATTTAGAAGTAAAAATGGTTGGAGTTGTTGATGCTTTTTCTAAATTATATACTGATTATCAAAAAACAACGCCTAAACGCTTAAAAATAATTGATGCCTATATGTTTTATATTTTAATTACAGGCGTTTTGCAATTTGTTTATTGCTTGTTGGTTGGGACTTTTCCTTTTAATGCTTTTTTGGCTGGATTTATTTCTTGTGTTGCTAGTTTTGTGCTTGCTGGTATTTTTTTTAACCTAAAAATATTCTAATGGGCCACCGGGCAACTTACATTCCTTTTAAAATGAAAGTCGTGTCAATTTGTTTTGGATGAGGTTTGGGTTGTAAATCCCATTATTCCTAATTTTTAAAGTATTTTGACCTGACAAGGGAACATTGTTTACTGTAATTGCGAATTCGATTTATTTTTTGGTACCATTGATAGAGGACCCTCGATTTACTCTTGTTGATTGCGGGTTTTTAAGCAAAATTAGTTTGGAACGAGTTATGGCCGTTCAAGTTTGAGGGACTTCTATCGAAGTCGAGTTTCCTATTTCAAATGGTACCAAAAATATATCAAATTCGCACTTACAGTGTTATCTGCTTGATCAAATTAAGCTTAAAAATATAGGAGATCATGTAATAAACTAAAACCATCAATTTTTAGCCAATCTTCGCATACAAGTTAACCCAGAAAATAAACACGAGTTTCAACATATTAGCCCTGAACGTGCATTCGCTGACTTTATATTTGCCCACGTTGTTCTTCATCTTGTCGTATTTAACTTTATGGGATAAAGAAAAAAAAAGAATTTTGTGAATTATATTTAAAAATGTTAATTTTATGTAAATTATATAATAAATTTGTTTAATAAAAATATTTAAATACAAAATTTTATTTTTTAAAATTATTTTTTTGATTTCAATTAAATATTTCTTTTTTTTATTTTAATATTTTTTAATTTTTTTTTAATTTTAAAGAGCTTTAAAAGATGTGGTCATTTATTAGATCGTTATTTCGTCCAATTTTCAATTTCTTTCAACGTTTATGTCGAAGAATTCTTAAAATGTTTACTCGCAGACAAACAATTGAGGACATTGTATGGTTTATTTTTGATTATATAATTTATAAATTAATTTTTAGATTTTGAAAGAGACTACTCGTGCTTCCAGAAATCGTCGAATTGAAAAAATGCTTAGAGAATTCCCGAATGAATTAGTTCAGTCAATGGCTTGGGACACTGGAGACGAAACCGAGGCTGCTGAAGCAATACTGGAAGAGTCTGTTATGGAAGATGAGAAACGTCATGACTTGTCTAAGACGTTGGCACGTTCAATGCGCCAAATTAAGGGATACCAGAAGCTCATTCAAGAAGTTTGTTTTGAATTTTTTAAATATTTTCTTATTTTGTGGTGTTCTGATATTTTCTGTGATCATCCATTGACTATATAATTGTAGCGTTTTTGGTCTCATAAATTTTTAGAATTCAAAGGTCCACAGGACACCCAAATATATTAACTAAAGGATGTTCACAGCCCATATATTTTTTTGATTTTCATAGGTAGAGGAGCGACGACTTGAAATCTATTGCAGCAAAATTGAGGAACACGAGAAGGAATTGTTGCGTTTATGGGCTTTGTTGAAACCAGATGAGCCATTGACTGATCGTATCTCCAACCAATGGCAAGATATTGGCTTTCAAGGGGATGACCCGGCTGTGAGTTTTTGTAGATATTTTTGGATAAAATAATATTTTTTAAGACTGACTTTCGCGGAATGGGAATGCTTGGTTTAGACCAATTGGTGTTTTTTGCTCAATTTGATGTGGAAAACTGCCGTCGTGTTCTTTCTCTTTCATTGCATCCCGTTTATGGGTATGATTATTTTTAAATTTCTGTTAAATGTTACTATAAGATCCCCTCTTAATAATTCTCAATTTAGGATATGTTTATTAAAATTTGGGGTGAGAGACAGGCCCGTAGCAGGGATGTGCCGGTCACAATGCGCTTTCGCCGAATTTTTGCCTTTAGTTCTCTTTCATCTTTCCCCTGATAATTTAACATCCCTGCCCCGTAGCCGGCTAAAATTTTAGATACCTCTCTTTTTTCTGTTTCTCAATTCTCTAGATTCTTCTGTATTCCATGTCCAAGTCTTGTTTAAAATTTATTTTTTTAAAAAACAGCTTTCCATTCGCCATCTGTGGTATAACAATCACAGCACTTTGTAAAGAATTACTTTTTGATGATGCGCTTAAAAACCATTTTTACAATGTTTTGGAGCAACCTCCACTCAAAATGGATCATTTCCATCAAGTTTATTGTAAATTAATTTAATAATATTTTTTAACTAATTTTTTAAATCTTAGGCTGTGTTTTTAGACTTTTTGGAGATTATTGGGATTATGAAAAGCCAGAATCGGTGATGCAATTTAATTTGGTTAAGAGACGCTTTGTTAAATTAATGGAGAAATATTTGAATAATTATGAAGCTAATTTAATTGTTGCGAAAATTGAGGACTTTAATTTGGAAGAAGACAGTTAATTGAAAATGAGAAGAGAGAAATAACGGGTTTTTTGGTGACTACTACAAAAAATACTAAAAATAAATAAATACTTATCTGTCTCTAAAGGTATTTTTCATCAAGATATACGAGGAATTTAATTTATTTTAAGTTTTAATTTGATTATTTTTATTTTTCAATCTCAATTATATGCAAATCCTTTTTGGGTACTTAATCTATTATACGCACACAAACTGAGTGCCATCCGACATTGATTACTATAACTTTTTTGAGTTTGATCCATTTCAAATAGATCTTATATTATTCGCAAGATATCATTCGTGAGCCATTCGAGAGCCCTTGATAATCATTCGAAAGCCCTCGATAAGCGGTATTTTTTATTATAGGATAGATAAAGTGATCATTCTTTTAAAAGTTCTAACACGATAAGTCCAGTTATTTGGTGTTTAAATTTATTGATATATAACATTTAACGAGTGATCAGATTTGATTCATTAATCCAGAAAAAAGATTTTATTGTCGAGAGCTTTCGAATAATATAAGATCAAATTCGGCTGGCACTCAGTTTGTGGGCATAACCGATAAGTACCCTTTTTTGTTTTAATTTATTTCTGTTTTGTAACAATGACAGAATAAAATTTAAATTACTTTAATTTTCTAAAAAAATTTCTAAAATATAAATTAGGTAATTAAAATATTTTCTAAGCAATTAATGGCCTTTGTTTAACCAATAATGTGGAATAAAATTATTTATTAGCATTCCTCTTCTCTATTTACTTCAATTGTTTCCCCACTCATACCCAATCTTTTCAACAAATTCAAGTCATGTTCAGGTGTTGGATTAGCAGCTGTTAATAATTTTTCTCCATAAAAGAGAGAATTAGCTCCGGCTAGGAAACAAAGAGCCTTAAAAATGGAAATTTAAATTTATTTTTGAATCGAAAAAACTTGTAATTCGTCTCCCATTTGTTCTCTTCCTGCTGAAAGTCTAATATATGCTTTTGGCATTAATAATCGTGCAGTTGCTATTGTTCTTACAAAATCGAATGAGTCCAATTCTACGGCATTTGCCAAAGGTGTTCCAGGAATTTTAATTAATTTATTTATTGGAACTGATCTTTTGATAAAAAATTATATTTAGATACAATCGAATCCTTATTTTGATACTTCCTTTTTAAAAATCGTCTCTTATAATGGGGGTATTTTAAATGGAGGTATCAATGGGCATCTACCCAGGGTGGAATACGGAAGTGGGTCAGCTTAAAAGCATAATTCTGAGGAAGACGGGAGTGATAGGGATTAGAGATCAAGATTTTTGAGAAGCCTGGGCCTGTTCCTGGGCTCTGGAGTTTTATTTATTGGCCTGGGCCGGATCCTGGGCTCTGCGGTTTGAGGGAAAAACCAGGAAGGTCAAAAAATGCCTTGGCCTGGACACTGGGTGCAGGAAAAACCCATGCATTGGTTCAAACCCAGCTCGATTTTAGTAGGGATCCTACCCCTTTCTCCACCTGTGACCAACCAAAATTTAAAAATGTTTGTTAAATAGAGGGTATTTAATATTGGAGGTATCTAAAATTGGGGTTCAATCATTAAAGAAAATAATTTTTTTACTCAGGCACAGGTTCCATATTAGCCAAAATAGTAAGCATTTTAACTCTATCTTCATTAGTTTCTCCCATTCCTAAAATTCCTCCACAACAAACTTTAATTCCAGCAGAACGAACCCAAAAATTAAATTTTTTTTGATAAATTTAAATTAAAAACTTTTTCTAAAGTATCAATTCTGTCTTCAAATCGTCTTGTTGTGATAATTTTAGAATAAAATTCTTTGGAACAATCAATGTTGTGATTATAAAAATCGAGGCCTTAAAATGAATAACACATGATCATGATACGCTCAAATATTAATTTTCGTTAATTAGAATCAACGATATTTTGGGTGGTGATATTTGGGCGTCGATATTCTGGGTGATCCCCTTTATATTTAATAGTTTATTTTATTATTTACCAGCTTGCTTAAGTTTTTCTGCTTGTTTATCATTTCTAATAAGTCCAAGTGTTGCACATGTTTCTAATCCTAACTCTTTTACTTTTTCTATCATTTCACAAACTTTTTCTAAATCCCTGTTGTTTGGTCCACGCCATGCTGCACCCTTTTATTTAAATTAAAAACATATTTGGACATAGAATTGGCCTCATTAAAAATACACCCATGAAGCTAAAAAATTGTGCCTTATATTGAGGGATACTTTAAATAGAGGGTATCCCTTATGCAATTCCCTCCCCCAATGGCCAAACAAAATTAAAAAAAACATCTCTTAAATTGAGGTATATTGTGTGTATCTAAAAATGAGGTGAGGTCATAATGAGGTGCAAATGAGTCATAATAAGGTCAACGAAGTCCTACAATAATTAAATTTAAAATTCTCCAACCATACAAAATCTTGTTGCACCATTTACTTTTGCTATTTTAGCTGCTTTAATTACTTTTCTAAAAAAATATATATGTATTTAATTAATTTCCCTTTAATTTACTCCAAATCCATTAAAGGCTCCTTCTTAATGTCAGTTTTATAAAAACTCGATTGTGGACAATAAGAACAATTCTCTGGACAAGCACCAGTTTTAATACTTAAAAGGGCGCTAATTTGTATTTTACAAGGATTGTGATGTTTTGAATGAATTAATTGGGCTTCTAGAAAATTTTTAAAAAATTTTAAGATTTATTTAAATAAATAAACCTTTAATCAAATTAGGAAAGGGCATTTTAAATATTTCAAAAGCTTCTTCAAAGGACCAAACTTTTTTAATTAATTTAACAACATTTTTGTTTAATAAGGACATTTTTATTTTTAAATTTAAAATAAATTTATTTAAATAATATGGGTAATAAATAAGGTCAATAATTAAGTAATAAATATTAATTTAAATAAATGTTCTTATTTTTAATGATAAGAATTTCTATATGTTTATTAAAAATAGCATGTTTTTAAGCATTTATTTTTAAATTATTATAGACCATTTATAAGTATCCTGATTTTTAGAGGGTTTTCCTAATATTTCTCAAATCTTACAGAAAAACAAGTCTTCCCTACTTTGTAAAGCATATAGCTATTTAATTCCTAAGGCTGTACAGAAGGCAATGTGTGTGAATGATAGATAACACATAGTCAAGTCTACTGAAGATGCCTGAAAAGGTGCTAGGAGCTCCCAGCTGTCGAATAATCTTTTGCACTAGCTGAAGGAGAGAAATAGCTATAGTCCAGCTCAGCCCCACAACAAATACAATAAAACGATCGAATTTTCAAACATGAATCGGAATTCGGAGCGAAAAAAGTCCGGGTTTCGAGTAACTTTATCAATCATCTGATTTACAAATTCGAAAAGAATATACCTAAAAATAGACTGGTATTAAGGTTTCAAAAATTATTTTTTTCCTTTTTTTTAATTTTTGGAGTACAGCCAAAATTAGTAATTAATTCTCTCTTTATTTTTATTTACTTCCCAAATAGAAAGAAAGAAAAGAATTTTGGACCCAAACCAAAAAATTTATTTTGTTGTAAAGTCTACCTAAATTCTCGTGAAGTGCACTTGGACTAAATTAATTTTAAAACTCATTTCTTTGACAAAAAACTTTTTTTTAAATAAATTTATTTATTTAAATAAACCCAAAAAAATAATTTTTATTTTTTTATTTCTTTAATAATAATTAAATTACCGGAAATCCCTCTCTCTTAAAAAAGAGAGAGAATAATTAACAAAACATTTATGTACGTAAATGTAAAAAAGGCTTAAATTTAATTTTGAAAAATATGTAATTTTCTTTTTTAATTTATTTTTAATTTATTTAACGAAAAATGATATTTTTCTAAATTTCTCATTTTACTTAATAAATCAAAAATCTTTATTTTTGTAAAAAATATTTATTTTTTAAAATTGTTACTTTTATATCTAAATAAAAGTAAATTAATTTATATAATTTAAAATTTAAATAATTAATTATATACCGTAAAGCTTTGAATAATTACCCCGGGTAATTATTGTTTCGAACCTCCGCTATAGGGAGTAATTAATTGAGGGAGGGCAACTATATGAGGTTTGAAATTTTAACGTGTTTTAGGAAATTTAATGGGGAGGTAATTATTATTTCAATCTACCCCGCAGAGGGTAATTAATAGAAGTTGGGTAATTATTTTAGGGAGAGGAATTAATACAGGTTATACGGAATTAATTAAATTCTCCAAGATTTAATTAGGTATATGTAATTTCCGAGTTTCGACATCTTCGGCACCTTAGTCCGACCTTTGATAAAAATTAAAAAAAGAGAAATGAGAAAAAAAAAGAATTTCAATTAAAAAATTGATAATTTTCTTTATATTTCCTTATATTTTAATCACTCTATTAAATATGTAAATATCTTTATTGCCTTAATAATTTTTATATTTATCAAATTCTCTAAAAATTATTACTTTTTGATAAGAATTTAAAAAGATACTAAATAATTAAGATAAAAGATATTTTTTATTTTAATTATTTAAAATGTTTGTCACCCCTTTTATTATTTTTTTTCTTGTCAATACCTCCTTTCTGTTTGTCTTTACTTAACTCGCAGTATCGCCCACTCATTTTTTTTGTGAAAATGCAGATATAAGCTTGTTACTCGTTAGTGTATATTTAATTTTTCTTTTTTTCTAAAAAATTTTTTTTCTTTCTTCTCTAACCCCTTTTAACGGGGTTTTTCATTAAAATACATACTACATATTCTACCCTCATTCCCCTTTTTTAGTTACTAGGCATTTTCTTCCCTTTCACGGCATTTCTGCCAGTCGATGGCTTTTATCTTTCCTTTCTTTTTTAAAATTCCAAGTATTTTTCTATACATATATCTGTCAATATCTGTCAATACATTTCCATTTTATTCTCCGACCTAGGCATTGGCCAAACATTTTTCCTTCCCTTTCCTTTCCCCAGTTTGTGTTTCATTCTCCCCTAAAGCTTTTTTGCCTTAAAGGCAAAACGAACATTTAATTTAAAAATATTTTAATTAAAAAAATTTTTAAGAATCGACAGAAATCGTCGATATGATTTCCACTAAAATAATATTGCCGGTCTTGTTGTCTTGTTTCCTCATCGAGGATGCTTTTGGCAGTAAGTCTTTCATATAAATTATGACGTTATTTAAGGAATTATTGTGAAAATATGGGTAATTAAACGTAAATCCCCCGTTTGTGCCGTGCTTAGCCATTTACCTATCTAGGTATACCTATTTTGTAAATCTTTATTTTATCCGAGGAGGTAGTAAACTGACAATATACTCCACAATTTCATAGGTTCAAGCTAGGTTACCCAGGCCCGAAGCAGGCCTTGACCTAAGTAGGGGCCAGAGGTGGTTCGGAACAGTCAGAGGTGTCGGAAATTGAAGAGCCGGAAATCGGAACAGGCTCAAAAGTCGGAACTCGGGAATCAAAATTTTTTCGAAAATCGGAAGGAAAAAACGTCGGAAATCGGAAACCCACTCTGTTAGGGACGTCTCTAATACTTGACATTTTTGTAAGCATGTATGATAGGGAAATAAATTTTACAAAAAAATCTAATTAGGCCTCTTCTTCTGGAACAAACAAAAAGCCTCATCGGCAAATGACGAACTCTGGACTCGATATCATAACCAAAAAGCAATGGAAGAAAAAATGGAAGAAATAAATAAAAAATGTCCAAAGTAAATTAATCCAAGCATTTTAATAGGGTAATTTATTTTTAAGCGTTACTCGTCTCTACAGTGTCGGTAAAAGTGTTGAGGGAAGGCAATTAGCCGTTATTGAATTTTTGTCGCCAAAGATTGGCGACTTTTTCGTTGAATTGTCATTTCGGTTAATTGTCCCCCATTTACTTTTCGTTAATTTTTCAGCCGTTCACCCCTTATTTTTTGTTGTCCACTCAATCTTTTTTCCCGCCAAAATTCCTTTCTCTATTTTTTAGTGACAGCCTACTCCTGTCACCTCAATTCTTTCCGATTGTTTTTTCTGTTCGTTTTCTCTGCCCCGTTCTCTCTACGCATTTTGTTTTCTATAATTCTGTAGGAATTATTTTCAATTTCGCAATTTTTTTGAGTTTTTTGTCAAACCCCGCCCTCTTTTAATCTCTATTTAAGTCGGCAGGCAAGCCTTAAAAATTATCCTTCAATCCTTCCATTCTACATCTATTTTACGGATCAACTTGTGGCTTGCCTGTGGACTTCTCTGTGGCCTTAACGTGTTATTTGGAATTTGTTGTGGAATAAATTTTACTTGTTTGAACTGTGTTAATTTTTTGTGGATTTTTTGGCGGCCGGCTGTGATTTATTAGAACTTGGAAGTTGTTCAATTTGTGTGTTTTTGGTTGAGAAAAAGTGAACGGCACTACCGTTCACCACTCCTACTCTTATTCGGCTAAAGTGACTCGTGCTCCGAGTCACTCAACTGCTCTTCTTCCTTCCTTTGACTGTTGGCACTACCAACAGTCTGGTGCTAGTGCCACATTTCACTAGCTGGTGCCACGACTCTTCCTCCTCCTCTCCAAACCATTTGTCGGGAACTCCCGACTCCCGACAAACTGGTGCCACGACCCGGGACCGCCGCGTGGTCTACTCCAACATCAACTACTCGTGTGTGAGCTGCACTACAGCCACCACCACAACTACAACAACTTCAATTTTTTGCGTGTGAACTGAACAACAGTCACAACAACAACCACTACTACAACTACCACTACAACCAGCATTGAACCACCGCAATGTCAGGAGTGATCCGACTACAACTAACAACCGTGTTGGCCACAGTGAAGGAAAAAGGCCGTGCTGTTCTTACTGGATTGAATGCTCAGGATACCACAATGGAAGAAGATGACCGACTGGAGCTGGAAGCAATCCAACTCAGAGAAGCTGCTGGACGAGCGCAGGCACTGGTGGATAAATGGTCTGATTATATTGCACGACTCCTCCCAACGCAACAACAAGCAGAAATGGATGTTCTCCAAGCCTTCCCGCCGCCGAGAGGCGAGGTGAGGGAGAACGATGAACTCACGGTGCTGGCGCAAATTGAGCGTTCTCGTGAACTGGTGGTCTTGGCCAATGGTTGCCTGCAGCAACGAAGAACTGATGGTCGTGGTTCAGTCTCCTCTCAACGATCTGAGAAGTCCGCTAAAGTGATTGGGGACCACACTGGTAATGCACGACAACGGACGCAACACACCATAGTTAATGGTCAACAAAGCGAACCTGAACATCCTGATGGTTTTACACGTCGTCCAGCTCAAACGCGCATTAATGATCACCAAGCTGGAACTGGTAATGGAACGAGGGCCCATCACACCAACTCAGCTAGTCAAGCCGGATTCTCGCCATACCAGCAACAAGGAACGTACAACGGTGCACCGATATACTCAACCTTCAGGCCATTCAGACTTGAGCCAATGAAGTTCTCTGGTGACCCGAAGGAGTGGACTGCCTTCTGGTTGGCCTTCGACCGTGCCGTGAACAGTCAACCCATACCACCGTTTGAGAAGCACCTGTGTTTACTGCAAAGTTTGGTACCTGGTTCTGTTGCTCATCGGGCAATTAATGGCTATCCACCGTCTGATGAAAACTATCCAATGGTGGTCAGTATACTGCGACGTCAATTTGGGGATGTAAAGGCACTGCGTGAAGGTCTTATTGCTGAATTACTACATCTGCCGTTGGCCAACAATTCACTGTTCTCCCTTCGTAATCTCCGAGAACATGTAGAAAGAATTTGTCTCCAACTTGAATCACTTGACAAGCTAAAGTTCTTGGAATTACTTGGGATGTCCAATCTGACGAGGTACTCTTT